CTGCTGTGTGCAGCTGGCTCAGGAGGGCTTGGAGTGTATCTGCCACTGCTCTGTCATTGTGCCCACCACCGTGACACACATTTCTTTAGTTACCCTCATGACAAACAAAACCCCATGCCACAAAATTGCTGGTTGTGATCTCTGTAACATACAGGAAACTTACAGCTCAGAGAGGTTAGTTAATAAAAGCAAATTTGCAGAAGCCGAGGCCCCAAGTCCCATGACCTATGTCAGAGCATGTTGTATAATACTGCCTTGATGGAGTTGGTACAGATCATAAAGGCTACAGCATTCTCCCCAAATGGGGAGATTAGTGAGTGGTGGAGGTTTTGTCAAGTTCAGTAAGTCAAGGAGAAGGATGTGGAGGGGCCAGAGGAAGGGAAGAAGGCAGGAACCTATGGACAGGGAAGGAGACTGCAAAGTTTCTCTGACATCTCAGCTGGGAGGCGTCTAATCTGTAAACTAAGACCTATCCGAGCATGTACGAATGCATGCTGTCAACTGCAGGCTGGCCCCGGTGCTCAGGGAGAGAGTTGAGAGCAGGCAGGTGGTCTCCACACACAGTGCTTGGCCAACCTCTTGACATTCTTTCTGTTATCTGGGGCATGGAAAACTGGGCCAGTTCATGATACTTCCTCTATAAAAGTTCTTTAGACTCAAAATCCTTTCAAAAAGATATTGATCTTTTCTTACACTTTGAACATTTTGTTCGGATAATGCTGCAAGTTTCATTTTGTCACTCTTGAAGAGACACTGTTTTGGATTTTGAGACATGGTTTCTTTGTGTATCCCTGGCTGTCATGGAACTTGCTGGTAGACCAGGCTGGTCTTAAACTCAGAGTTCCTCCTGCCTCTGCCTCCAGGGTACTGGGATTAAAGGCATGTACCCCAACCACCTGGCAAATTTTTTGTTTTTTAACAAACTTCTACAAATCAAGTATGTATTCTCTTAAAAGTACAGTCTTTTGAGTGACTTGTTCAAGATTCAAAAAAAGATACATCGAAAATGGTTCAATTTCAACCAAGTGTTCCACATGAAGTCAGAGTCTTGTGGGATAGCACTGAGCCCACATATTCCGCCCCCAGACAGCAGGACTCTTCTGTTCCTCCCAGGCCCTCAGCCCAGGAACTGTCCCCCTAAAATCTCTGCCTGATTTCATATCTTGGGTCTCTGTGGACGCCATCTACTCTTCCAGTGAATATGCATTAATGTCTGTTACGTGCCAAGCAAATCACCCCACTGGGATTGTAAGCTCTATGAAAGTTCTTTGCATTGGAAAGGCATCTGGTTTGACACTGTAGACTCTGGATAGGCTACCTGGATCACAGTCCCAGCTTGCTAGATGTACGGCCCAAGGCATAGCACTCTGTATCTTAGCAGAGAGGTGACAGCAGTCCCTTTCTCACAGTGATGAGAACCACATAAGTTCACACATGCAAAGCACATCAGTGGTTATGGTTAGCGCCAAGTAAGTTACTTGTAGGGTCACCACAACACAGCACAAGTTAACAGTAGTGAGCAGACTAACACAATAAGGAATACACGCTTTGGGCAACAGTGAATATAAGATGTTTTAGGAAAACACGAAGAGGCCTGTATAACCTAGACTTAGGAAGGTTTAAGAAAGAGCCACATCCTAAACAAGGTTTTTAAAAATCAGTTAATAACAGGACGGGACTGTGATGACAGGGAGGAGTATGTTTGCTTGCAAAGACGGGGAAAAAAGAATGCTTGCTTTCTATGGAGTGTCTACACAAACCGCAAATCACCAAGAACCATGACTACAGAATCTGTAATGTGCCTTCTGTTTTTGTTTGTCATTGTGACCAAAACACCTTGGAAAACAACTGAAAAGAAGGAAAGACTTCCTTTATGTTATGATTTCAGAAGGTTCAGTCCAAGGGGAAAAGATGCCTATGAAGCCCTGTCCTTGATGACTTACTTCCTCCAGCTAGGCCTCACCTCCACAAATGACCACAACCTTCTAAAACAGCACCTCCAAACAGCACCCCCAACTGGGGACCGAGCATTCCGAACATGAGTCAGTGGAACACACTTCATATTCAAACTGTGACACTATATTCACTGAACCATTAATGTATAACCCAGAGAATTCAGATTAACGGGTCAAAGAACAAGTCTCAACTACATTCATCTCCAGCCAGGTCAAAATGGCTGACATTCTCTTTGTCTTCAGTGGCATGCGAGCACGTATGCTTCTCCAAATAGCAGGTTAATTTACCAGTTCCTTGGAAGAGTTTCTACTCCAGGCTTCCTGAGACAGTGTGATTGATGCTTTTCAGCCACCGCAGTGCATTACACACAAAAACCTGCCCAGTAGTTTTTTCTCATTTATACCTAAATGTACTAAGTTTAAGTTTGTATTCTAGTTTTTTAAAGAACAACTGCTTTTATGGCAAATGTTTGGATGGGTCCTGCCAACACTCCCTTGCTTCTCTCACTCCATTGAACTCACAAAAGGCAAGTTTGGGCCTGGCTCCAACCTACAACAGTCTGCTGATCTTCAAGATGAAATCACCACAGAGCTGGATTGTAGCATCAGTCAATGATCTCAGCATGAAAAGAGCAAACGTTAGGAGGACAAGAAGCAAAGTGGACTGTGCACATCGACAGCCCGTGTCAAGAGACCTCAGGGAGCCAGCTGGACCTATGATTAAATGTCAGTTTTGAAAGGAACTAAAGGGGAAACAATTTTCCAGCACGGAATAATTCTTCTTAGAAGGCCAATAAAACTTCTTCCTTAATGATAATAATAATAATAGTAATAATAATAATAATAATAATAATAATAATAATAATAATAATAATAATCCCCAAGGAGATTATTACCCTGGGATAATAGGAGGAGAGGGATTTTGTAATTCATGTGAGTCAATGATTTTCAAATACGTTTTGGCTGAAGAACCTTTTGTTTAAATCATTACCAAGATGTGCAAACAAGCAAAAACACCAACTGCTCTAGTTGGAAGCAGGGTCAGGGTTACCCTCCACCCCCTAAGTACATCTCCATTGATCTTAGCCACACTGCCGAGAAGTGATTCCCCTAAGTACATCCAAACCCCTAATTTTAATCTACTAAGAATTCAAGGAGGGGCAAGGGAGACAGTTGGCTCAGCAGATGGTTCGTGGCACCAGTGAGAAGTGAGTTTGATCCTGGACAGCCACGTAAAAAGCCAGGTATGGTGGCATGCCCCTGTCATCTCAGTGCAGGGGAGGCAGAGACAGGAGGCTGGCTCTCTGGGGGCCACTGGCCAATCAGCCCAATCAGCAAGCCCCAGGTCCCAGTGAGAGACCCTGTCGCTGACGGTAGAATTCGGCTCTGCTTTCTTTCTCTTGCCTGTATTTCCATGTTTCCTACAGAGAATAGGCATTAATTTTATCATAAGAAAAGTGGATCCTTAAGAAATATCAGCAGGCCGGGCGGTGGTGGCGCACGCCTTTAATCCCAGCACTCGGGAGGCAGAGAGAGGCAGGCGGATCTTTGTGAGTTCGAGGGCAGCATGGTCTACAGAGCGAGATCCAGGAAAGGCGCAAAGCTACACAGAGAAACTCTGTCTCGAAAAACCAAAAATAAAAAAGAAAAAAAGAAAGAAAGAAAAAAAGAAAGAAAGGAAGGAAGAAAGAAAGAAAGAAAGAAAGAAAGAAAAGAAAGAAAGAGAAAGAAAGAAAGAGGAAGAAAGAAAGAAAGAAAAAGAAAGAAAGAAAGAAAGAAAGAAAGAAAGAAAGAAAGAAAGAAAGAAAGAAAGAAAGAAAGAAAGAAAGAAAGAAAGAAAGAAAGAAAAAGAAAGATCAGCAGGCAGATGGTAGTCAACATCTCTTTGCAGTATACCCCAGAAACTATTCTTTAAAAGTTATTATTGCAAAGCCAGATGCTGCTCATCCCAGCTACTCTGTTCTCTTAAAACCGTCTTTCTTTGGCAGTTCCAGGAATCAAACCGGGGCCTGAAGTATAGTAGACAAACACACTACCATGAGGCATATCTTCAACACAGTCCCTCCAGCTAGGGAAGCCAAGACAGGAGAATTGTGAGTTCAAAGTCAGCCTGGGCAACACACATAGCATAGCAAGACCTTGTCTCACAGAAAAATGTTACTGAAGAATAATTTTAATAGTATGAGGAAGTATTTGTTAAGATGTTAAACTTAAAAAAGAAGAAACGTAGTTGTTGAGACTGTGAATAGTTGTCATAAAGATATGTATTTTTTAAAATGTAGTTGTCTGGATGGTTTGTCTTCTATTTTTCTGCACATTCCAGATATGTTACAATAAATTATATTATTTGTATAATGGAAATATGGGGCAGGCCAGACAGTGCAGCAAGTTACCACATAAGTCTGATGACGTGAGTTTGATTCCCAGAACCCCCGGGAAATGTGGAGAGAACTGGTTCATGAAAGCTGCCCACTGACCTCCACATATGCACCGTCTGTGAATTCATGTCACACACACACACACACACACACACACACACACAAAATTTTAAAAGCTAAATTTTTTCAGTTAGTCATGTTGCCTAAGCTTGTCTGTAATTCAAGTGATCCTCTTGCCTCGGCTTCTCAAATAGCTAGGATTATAGGCGTGTACCACCACACCTGACTCAGAAGATAGACATGTATGTATTACGGAGAAATGCTGGGCAAGACAATTAGACTCCTTAACAAATCTGTGATCAGGTGTCAAAGAAAATATATACGCAAGATCAATGGTTCTCAAATTACAGAGATTGTAAGAGATACTTGTTGACTTGTTTTAAAAGTAGATTTCCAGCCGGGCGGTGGTGGCGCATGCCTTTAATCCCAGCACTCGGGAGGCAGAGCCAGGTGGATCTCTGTGAGTTCGAGGCCAGCCTGGGCTACCAAGTGAGTCCCAGGAAAGGCGCAAAGCTACACAGAGAAACCCTGTCTCGAAAAACAAAACAAAACAAAAAAAAAAAAAAAAAGTAGATTTCCAATCTCTGTTTCCCAAAAGCTAAGACAATCTACCTGGACATATACAGCTGCCAATCTCTGGTTCTTAGTACTCAAATTAGACTTGATAATCCACATCAGGACTAGTTCAAGGTATGAATATTAATATCTCAACTCAATACCTTCTAATGGGAGCAATTTCCCATTGTACCTCTGAATATTAGGATAGAGCTTACATCTTTTAATCCTCTTATGAAAATAGCCCCTTTATAATCCTTGGTTTCTCAGTTGCCAGTTATTGAGAAGTCTTTGGGGAGATTGAGCTAGCCATAGGAAACTATATCCAACTCCTTCGCTTCACAAAGGAGATTCTGAACATTTTTGGCCTGCCTGAGGTTCCTCTGCTATTTGCCATCTCTGCTCCTGCTACGAGTCTGGATTCTGGTCCCTGCAGCCTGGGGTTCTCTCTAATGGACGATGATGATTCTTCATTTAATGGCAAATAGATTTTTGGACTTTATGTTCATCTCGAGGTGAAGCACTATTTGGGGACAGTCAATACAGAATCCAGGTTTCCATATTCCTTGACCAATTTTGAACAGTCAATGATAATAATCTCTCCCTCCCTCCGTCTGTCTCCCCCCAACCCCTCACCCCTACTGGGTACCTCTGGCTGGCCTAGAACTCACCATGTAGACCATCATGGCCTTGAACTCACAGAGATCTGATTGCCTCTGTCTCCCTAGTGCTGGGATTAAAGGGTTACACCACCACAACCAAAAATCTTCCTCTTCTTTATCTTAGGTGTTTTGTTATAGCAATGAAAGACAAAAATACTCAATATTGATTATTAAGCAATATTAATTATTCTGCATATATTCTTTGCTTTAAGGGGTATTGCTTGTTTGTTCATTGTTTGAGACAGGGTTTCTCTGTGTAGCCTTTGTTGTCCTGGAACTCAATTTGTAGACCAGGCTAGTCTCAAGTTCAGCCTCCTGGGTTCTGGGATTAAAGGCATGGGGCACCATGCCTGGATTGTTTGCTTTGTAAGTGAATCTCATTTACCACTGGGTGGCTTCAAACTATCTGCAGAGCCAAAGATGGCCTTGAACTCTTCATCTTCCAGCCTCTATCTCCTAAATGCTAGAATTACAGGTATGTGCCACCACATCCAACCTCTATAAATATTTTTACAACATATTTTTGATTGTTTGAGAATTTCACATAATGCACACCAATCATCCTCACCCCCCAGTCCTTCCATATCCATCCTTGTGATTTCCCCCCAAAAAAGAAGAAGAAAAATATACCAAGTCCAATTTGTGTTTCCCATATACTACTCACTGGAGCATGGTCAGACTCCCAGTGGCCAGCTCTTAGTGAAAACTGAGTCCTTCCCGACCCTACCAGAAACCATCAACTGTGCAGAGCTACACTTCAGCATTCCTATCACAATTTTTAAGAGTTCTCTACAAATTTTTGTTTGCTCTTTTTCAGACAGGGTTTCTCTGTGTAACCACTCTGACTGTCCTGGAACTCTTTTTGTAGACCAGGCTGGCCTTGAACTCACAGAGTTCACCTGCCTCTGCCTCCCAACTGGTAGGACTAAAGGTGTGTGGCACCACTGCCCAGCAAGAGTTCTCTACAAATATTTTTAATCATGGTATTTATTGCCAAAAGACCTAATCCTATTCTATATTCTCTATATTCTATATTCTAACTCCAATTTAATTATTATCGCCCACTGAGGAAGCCAAACTGAATGATTAAACAGAGCATTTTCATTTCCTGTTTTGTACCCTGATTGACTACTCATAGCTTTAATCTATATGGAGCACTCTTTAAATTATTTGATAAGCTACTCCTGAGTTACCAAGCTCCTCATTTAATAGTCTCCTATGACCAGCAAGTACAATAGCAGTCACAGTTAAGAATACCCTGTATGGCCTCTGCCTACGGAAAGCACCCAGACAAGCCCCAGGTATTAGCTCTTCGGTCCTTGTAGCGGCATTGTTAATAAAATAGGTGGCTACAGAATAATAAACATTACTCTAATTCCAAACACCGACAGAACACACAGCCTATCCGTTTCTTACATTATCCCAATGAAGGGTCATCGGGCTCCACAAATCAAGTGCTACTTATTTACACCAAACAGACTTAAAAATCACCAGTCATGAGTCTGTCAAGTCATATAGAGGTAATTGCAGTCATTCTTAGCCAAACGTTATGAAGGTTTTATGGCGCCTTAGTCCTGATAGCCCACAGTCACGAGCTGTCATTGCTTTGTCTCATAAACTCAAACTATGAACAAATTCATAGTCAAACTATACTACCAGTTTGTCTATTACAGATTACATCCTTTAATAGCAATGTGATGATCTAGCTTCACTATTATCCTAGTAGAACTTAATTTTACTAGTTATGACCCTGTATTCCCACTATGTGTTAGTCACACCATAAAGAATATTCACATACTACCTTAATAACATCGAGGCATCCTTCACACTAGAAAATACTTTGATAGTTATGCATCTACTTCCTATCACTTGATGCCAAAATTACTTGAAGATTTATGTGCTATAAACATAACAAACTATACATTACGAGTCCAAAAATAGAAGCTTAAAATTCCTAATTAACTGGCTAAGAAAGTATGTAAGGACTACTAAGACCATGCCTCCATTTATAACAACATGACCATCCCAACTTGTAGCTAGAGTTTTCCTGCCTGGCCCACAGTCAGGACAAATCTCTCTCACCCGCCAGTCCCAAGCCGCTCAAACCCGATCAAGTAAACACAGAGACTTATATTGGTTTCAAACTGTATGGCCGTGGCAGGCTTCTTGCTAACTGTTCTTACAGCTTAAATTAATCCATTTCTATTAATCTATACTTTGCCACGTGGCTTGTGGCTTACCGGTACTTTACATCTTTCTTGTCCTGATGGCGGCTGGCAGTGTCTCCCTCAACCAGCTTCCTGTTCTCTCCTTTCTCCTCTCTGTTAGTCCCGCCTATACTTCCTGTCTGGCCACTGCCAATCAGTGATTTATTCATTGACCAATCAGCAACACATTTGACATACAGACCATCCCACAGCACAACTTTAAGAGGAAAGTGTTGATCTTGGAGCCAAAATATCGGTGCAGCTCCAAACAAAAGTAATAAATTTATTCTCTTCTTCTATCACCATCTTATACTGCCAAATTTTACAACATAGCGGCTCTCCAGTCAATCCTACATGACCATAATAGACAATGGATTCATTTATTAATGGTATGACTTTTATTACACGCAAACATATGGGATTATGAACAAATTTTCCTCTTCAATCCTGACCCTCACATTGTCCCATTGGACCATTCTCCCTTTGAACCCCTGATCCTTGGGAAAATAGACCGTCTTCTATCTTGCTTGGTCTAAGTCATAGTACTTTTTAGTACCATCACAGCAGTGTTATTTTCTCCTTTCTAATTAGGGCAAAATGAAGGCACACACACTGTTTTGGTGACTCCTCTTTAGCCTTTGTTCACCATGGTTCTTGTTAAGCCATGTTAGATAATGGCCAAAGTCTTCTCATAGGGCTCCAGATCGGCATTCCCTACTATAATTTTACAAGCCACTGTGGGTTTAGTATATTTGTACCTTTTCCTTGTAACCACCACCACAGTATAATTTGGCTTTGCTTCTGTTCTATGACTAGCATCAGCCTCCTCCAATGGACTGCAAGTTACCAAAGAATAGGGACCAGTGCACACTCACGGGGACTTTGCCTACTTAGCCTCACACTGTCAAATCCTGGGTGCTTGAGACACAGCTACTGAGCAGTGTTTTTAAATAGAGATGCTTTGCCTGTTTATTGACTTCTGTCAACTCTGCCTCACTCAAGTGTGAGAGGCTCCTCAGGGCTTCAGACGCCAACCCAAAGCCTCCTCTTGGTAAGCTCCTCTGCTAGCCACACTCTAGTCACACTGATGAAGGGTACCACGGCCTCTCCCACCATCAGTCCAAACGACTCCTTGGCACTGGCCCAGCTCTGTCACAGGCCACATCCTTAAGATGGTGTCACTCAGTGACTCCTGAGCACGGAAACAAAAACACGGTAACTGAGGGAGTTAAAATAAAAATTGAGAATTTAAATCTACTTTAGAAGAATAAATTCATCAGGTAGCCTTCTAATACTAAACGTATGTTTGGAGTAAAAAAAAAAAAAGAGAGAGAGACTACGGTGTCAACTGAAGTGTCTGGACAAAACGTTACTCTTGATCAAGAGGGTGTGCTCGGGAGGAGGGACCATACCTGGACAGGAAGTGCACCTGTTTTTCTGTTCTTCCTCTAAGGAAGGTGTGCCTGTGTGTTTTCCCCACTGGCTGGGGCAGACCTCCCAATCTTACTTAATGGGCTAGCTTGAAAAGAATTGGCACACAGGAAATGGAGAAAGCCAGAGGTGTCCCTGTTCCAAACAGAAAAGGACATCCAATTCCTAGACTGGAGCAGCGGACCTCTGAGTAAACACGGGTTTTAGTGAGTAAGGATTAAAACGTTTGCATGTTAGAAAAGGCTCTTATTTGATACTTCTTACAACAATTCGACAAAAGGAATTTAATTCTTAGATGTTGTTTAGTCTCATATACAGCAAAAAACCAACCAACCAACCAACCAACCAAAAAACAAACAAACAAAAAAACCCCACAGAAACAACAAACAAAAAGCTGGGGATGAAATGGTATCTCTTTCTACAGCAACGAATTCACCATGAACTTTTTTTTCTTGTCTGCTTTGATCTAAACACTTGTTGGGCTTCCAGAAGAGTTCCGCAGTTACATGCACTGGGGATGTAGTAGAGACTGTTACAGGCCAAGCAAAAGGAACGGGTTTGAAAAGGCAAGCAGCAATGCTATCAGATCCTACCAACACCAGGAAATGAAAAGCACGAGCTGAAAAGCACTGGGTGTTGGTGACTTCTCCTGTGCATGCAGCTCTTGCAGGGGAGTGTTCACACACCTGGAAACAAAGCTTGCGGTGTACTGTACCTACAGGAGGAAGTATGCAAGCATGCCCTCCTGGAGACAAAGACTCACAAGTTCTTCTGGTTTGTACTCCTTCCTTTGGCACCCTGAATACATTTAGAAGATTACATTTCTCTTCCCCCACCCCACCCCCCAAACTGTGGTGTTACAGCAACAGTATCATTAAGTAAAATATGTAAGGCATGAGAAGCATATAAATCATGCACAAACACATTAAAGAATTTAAATTACCTTTAATATGATGGAAGAGTGAAGAGTTTAAATGACAGCATCTAGGTTCTCCCGCAACCCTGTTGTTTGTTTTGAAATAGGTATCTCATTAAGTAGCTCGGACTACCACTGGATTCCTGATCCTCCTTGCTTCAGCCTGCAGAGTGGTGGGATTGTAGGTGTGTGCTACCACATCTGGTCAAGGGGTCTAGGTTTGGATCAGGGCTCACTGGGAATCTTCAACAAGTCACTCAACTGAGTGGCTAAGAGCATATGAGTTTACATACATAAATCTCAGGAACACAATGTGTTTCGAGATAATTGTACACTGTGTGAAGATGTATCTTTGTGATTGATTTAATAAAGAGCTGAATGGTCAATAGCTAGGCAGGAGAGAATAGGCAGGACTGAGAGAGAGAGAGAGAGAGAGAGAGAGAGAGAGAGAGAGAGAGAGAGAGAGAGAGATTGAAAGTTAGAATTTGGGACAGTAAGAGAATCCAGCGAGATACTGAAGGAGTTGGGCATCCAGAATGGAGAAGTAAAAAGTCATGTGGCAGAATGTAGATTAATAGAAGCAGGTTCATTTAAGACCTAGTTGGGACAAAGCCTAAGCTAAAGGTCAAGCTTTCAAAATTAATGAGTCTCCATGTCATTATTTCAGGGCTGGTGGTCCAAAGAAAGTCCGACAAGAAAGATCCATTACAATACTGCGATGCTTGCTGATCATGTTATGAATCTGTCAACCTGTGGTAGCTAGGCTGTAACAGGAGAGAGTAGACCAGGATAACAGAAGTTCTTGTGTACCAGGCTTTTTCTTTTGGGCCATCAACCAGCTCCCAAATCATGACACGGAGACTTATTATTAGTTATGAATGCTTGGCCTAGCTTAGGCTTGTTTCTGGCTAGCTCTTTTAACTTAAATTAACCGGTTTCTCTTTAACTACCTTTTGCCTCGGGGCTTTTTACCTGTCTTCCTTCTGCATGTCTTACTTTCACTGCTTCTCGTGTCTGGCTGGCCCAGGGCGTGTCCCTCTCCTCTCCGTCCTCTTCTCCTTCTTCTCTTCTAGATTTCTCCTTCAAGTTATTCTCTCTGCCTGCCAGCCCTGCCTATCCTTTCTCTGCCTAACTCTTGGCCTTTCAGCTCTTTATTAGGCCAACTAAGAGCTTTGGGCAGGCCAGGTGAAACAAATGCAACACGTCTTCACATAATTAAACAAATGCAGGCTGAACAAATGTGACACACCTTTACGCCGTTAAAGAAAGTCCACTGCATAAACAAATGGAACACATCTTTGCCCAGTTAAACAAATATTCCACAACATTCTCGGGCTAGAGATGTAGCTCAGGGTCAGAACACATGTGCCAGGCCCTGGTGTTCATCCCCAGCACCACAAAGAATCCTCCTCACTTTCTGAGCATTTACTATACGTCAAGTACTGGACGAAGAAATCCCCATACCTTCTCTTATTAACTCATCACATCTACCCAATTCAGTAAATATTAATTTGAAAAATGGTAGATGTATAGATCTACACATTAAAAAATGGTCAGCTATTGGTAGTCTCGTGATAGTTCAAGTTACCTTCCTGGTTTTGAGAAAGTGAAACAGAAATTCGGGTAAAATGACATTGAGAGTACTTGCTGATGTGAGATCTGTAAGCCAACATTTCTGAACAACGTGCTGTATTATTAATAAAAATTGGTAGAGAAGAGTGGCTGGAGAGATGGCTCCATGGTTAAGAGAGCTCACTCCTCTTGAGGAAGACCTAGGATTCAGTTCCCATCACCCACATGGAGGAGCTGACACCCTCCTCTGGCTTCCAGGGGCCCTGAACACAGATGGTACACACAAACTCATGGAGGCAAACATACATTACATACACATAAATAAACTTTTTGTTTGTTTTTTGAGACAGAGTCTCTCTACACAGCTCTGGCTGCCCTGGAATGTAGATGAATCACTAAATGGTCTTATTAAACAAAAAACTCGGAGCCAGAAATTGGGGTTAAAGCCTGAGAGCGATCAGAGGAATAGGAAAAGCCACAGCTAACCTCACCTCACCAACTCTGCAGCTTCCAAAGCAAGCTACTTCCTGTCTGCCCATGTACATATGCCTTTCTGTTCTGTCCTCTCATTTGCTCTCTCAGCTCAGCTTCATCACTTCCTCTTCCTGCCCAGCTCTGTCACTTCCTGTCTGTCTGTACAGACCTCCAGACCTCTATGGTTAGTGCTGGGATTAAAAGCATGTTTTACCACGCTTGGCTCTGTTCCCCAGTGTGGCCTTGAACTCACAGAAATCCAGACAGATCCCTGTCTCCCAAGTGATAGGATTAAAGGTGTGTGCTACCATTGCCTGACTTCTATGTTAATATAGTGGCTGGCTTCTTCCTCTGGTCCTCAGGTAAATTTTATTGGGAGACACAGTATATTGGGGGACACAATATATCACCACACTGTAACTTACTATGTAGACCAGGCTGGCCTTAAATTCACAGAGATCCACCTGCCTCTGGCTCCCAAGTGCTGGGATCAAAGGCATGGGCTAAGCAGATCTTTTAAAAAGATCCTAGAAAAGAGAGAGAACAGTTTAGGAAATATGACCACTAAGTTTTAACCAAATATTATTTACACAGGCTTAAGAGAATATATAAAAAGTCAAGTAATGATATCATAGCAAATTCATCAGAAGAATCAGTTATTTATGAAGTAGGCCTTGTTAGAGCTTGCTTCTGAGATAACCCTTTTCATCCATGGACTCTTGTTCATTGGGCCCACAAATATTTACTCCACATCAGCCTCACTTTCTCTGGATCTTCTTATCTTGCCTTCCCTGTTTCTTACGAGTTTACCAACTCAGATTCATTTTTCTTCTTAAAAGATTTTGCCCCCTTACAATTGCAAACCCCATTTGGTTCTAATGCAGCTGACTCATTTCAACAAAAGTGTAAGTTTCTTGAGTAAAGCTTAATAAATGGTCCGTTTGATGCTCTACCCAGTCTACCCCAAAAGGGATGGTGAAGAATCACAGCTTGTGAGAGTGTGGGTGATAAAGCTTTCTCTTATCATCTGCTCTTTACGCTTAGCTTACCTGGAAACTAACTGCCCTGTGATATTCTTATTATTTAGTGTTTCGTGGGCTTAGGCCTTGTCTCTCGAAGTCCAGGCTTCTGAAAGGGCAAGATAAAGCGATTTAAAGATGATTTCATGCGGTACCAGCAAACAGGGTAAATCAACACGCGGGGAGAAAACCTGATCATCAGTTTGGGGAGGAGGGTTCTGGAGCGAAGCCAAGCAAAGCCAAAGCACTGGCAGGGCGCGGGGCAAGGGGAACTTCAGAGAATTAGGAGCAGGCAAGATGTCAAAGACGACGGATCTCCGGCTGTCCTTAGAAAGAGGCTGTGCGGAGACCCGCAGCGCCGCGGCCGCCCTTGGCTGGGGAGCGCGCCCCGGGTGGGGGCCGTGAACTCCCAACGAGGCGGCGGCGGCGGCGGCGGCGGCGGCGTAGGGCGCGCGGCGCGCTCTGGCCAGCAGGGGGCGCTCCTCCGCGCGCCGCGCTCCCCCCGCCCCGCCCCGCCCCGCCCCGCCCCGCCCCCCGCGGCGGCGCCGCCCGCGCCCCGCCGCCCGGCGCCACGCCCGCCGCAGGCCGAGGGCCAGTCACCCGCGGGCCTGCGCCCCGGCCGGCCCTTCCGCGCCCCGCCCCTGGCCCGCCGCGGGACGAGTAACGGTTACGAAGCACTTTCTCCGGGTCGGTTTCTGCTTAGTCATTGTCTTCCAGGAAACAGCTCCCTCAACCCGGGCGGCCGCAGAAACCGCAGCGGCCGCCCGCCGGTCCGCCCGTCCGTCCGTCCGTCCGTCCGCCCGCGCCGGCGCCGCCCCTCCGGGACCGCCTCCCCGTCGCCGCTCCGGCCTCCTCGGGCCCGAGCGCACACCGGGCTGTGGCCGCGCGGAGCCCGGCAGCCTCGCGCTCGCCTCTCGGGCCTGGGGACACCGCGCCCGGCGGAGGCAGCCGTCTTCCCGCCCGCCCGCCCGCCCCTCCGCGGCCCCGTCGCTCCCCGGTCCCCCCAGTCAAGGCGGCAGCTGCCATGGGCACCGACAGCCGCGCGGCCGGGGCGCTCCTGGCGCGGGCCAGCACCCTGCACCTGCAGACGGGGAACCTGCTCAACTGGGGCCGCCTGCGGAAAAAGTGTCCGTCCACGCACAGCGAGGAGGTGAGCACCGTGGGGCCGGGCTTCCCGGGAAGGTGGGGTGGGGTGGGGGGCTGCGGGGACATCCCGCGGGCCTCGGGGCAGGTGGGGGACAGGCGGGACGCGCCAGGGCTCCGCCCGCCCCGGAGGGAGCTATCGCGGGGGAGCTGGGTGCCATCCCGCCTGAGCAGGTGCCGCTGCACGGTGGGCTCTCGGTTGATCTCTCCACTCTCCAGCTCACTGGGTCCCCTACCTGGCTGGGCAAGTTGGACAGAGCCACTGCAGCCCTGCATCCTCAGCGTCCTTGCCTCTCCCCTAGCCGGGTCCAGGAGTCTTAGGTTAGTGCTTGGTAGATGAACTAACAAATGCGCTCGACTTTGACGTCACTGACATTCGTTTCTCTAATGGGTTGAATTTGGATTTGGGGGTACTTACTGCAAGTTAACATTTTAGTTGCTTCAAAACGAACAGCACGGCGGCACATGCCTTTAATGCCAGCCCCGGGGAAGCAGAGGCAGGAGGATTTCTTAGTTTGAGGCCAGCCTGGTCATAAGGGAATTCCAGAGCTACACAGAAAAACCCTGTCTTAAAACCGCTTCCCCCCCCCCCCCGCCCCCAGAAAAAACCCTAATTACTAGTTGGAAGTGACAAAGTTTAATGTTGAATTTAAAACGTGTTGCATTTGTGTTAATGGACCATTCCTGGGCCAGTAGTTCTCCACAGACCATGCTACTAGTTGCAGAGGTATATTGGAGCACGTTTGCCGCTTAAAAACAAAAGAGATGTGCAATTATTATGTGTTGGAAAAAATAAGCTGGGTATGGTGGTGCACTCCAGTACCCAGACTCAATGGACTGAGGGATTGGATGTGGAATCTGAGGCCAGCCTGGGCTACGATGTGAGACCCTGTCTCAAAAAAAAAAAAAAAAGAAAAGATAAATAGAAACTCTTTAAAATATAAAACATTGACATTCAGGAGCTGTATGTTTGAGAACATTTTCCTGTCTGTAACTTTAACCCTGAGTAATATCCTTTCATCAGGTTGTTGTAGAAAGTAAAAGATGGTATATGAAAATACTCAGCATACAGGCTTTTTATCAACTGTATCATCAGAAGGTAAACACTTCCTAAGTTATGTCATATTGTAGCATTTGTACCTGTCATCAGACAAGCCTCAGATCTTTTAATGAGACCAGCTATACAACAGCACCTGGCATCCTCCTCATTGTAAACTGAGAGCCTGGGCCAGTCAGATTTAGGAACCTGAGTCCCTGGCCTAGCCCAGCCCATGTGTGTTCAGGTTCCAGCTAAATGTGTATGTTTTTGCTTATTTCTCCCAGGGGTATTACTATATTTTGGTACAGAGAGCCCTAATTTCCCCCTGCACTGAGTCCAATCGAGCATTTTGCCACGAGTATGAATGTACTGGGTGAAACATTCTCTTATCTAACCACAACACGCTCTGGTGGCTTTCAAAGTTGTTTTTTTCTTTAATGTTTGATTAATCCTGTGAGAATTTCAGTGCATCTCTCAGCCATCATCAGAGAGGCTTTCAAAAGTTTTTGACTGAAAATAATAAATATTTTATCCATTTAGTTCATAGTTCATCATTTAGTTCTGTTTCTGTGTGTGTGTAGGCCCAAATTACTCAGTGTCTGAGAATGTGAGCTTGCTTTACCCAGTAGGGCTGCATAAGGGGATGATTTGACGACAGGCGTGGTTACCAGGGGTTTGGAAGGGTCTGCATTTGGCTGTATGGTGTGGTTTGATTTTGTAAGGGGGAGGTCTTTTGCCCCGCCCCTTGGCATTGTTATAAAAAGCCCTTTTGAAGAGGCAGAAGGGGCCATTGGGTATTGACCCAGGTCTTCCCAAAGCTATCCTGTGTTTCTGTCTTTCTCCACTTCGCTATCTTTCTATCTACAAGTTTCTTATCCCTCTTGCCTCCTCATAGGAACTCTGGGAAAAGTGGGAGCTGGCCTCCCACATGTGTGTTTATCAACATATTAGAAAGAGGTTGCACAGAAGATATCATTAACCCTTTCATACTTTGTGGTAGATATCATTAACCCTTTCATACTGTATGTTAGATATCATTAACACTTTCATACTGTATGGTAGATATCATTAACCCTTTCATACTGTATGGTAGATATTTTTTTCAATCCTGTTGCACTTTGTAAAAATTGATTTTTTTTTTTTAAACTGGGTGTAGTGGCACATGCCTTTAATCCCAGAACTTGGAGGGAGGGATCTCTGAGTTTGAGGCCAGCCTGGTCTACAGATTGAGTTCCAGGACAACCAGGGCTACACAGAGAAACCCTGTCTCGAAAACAAAAATAAATAAATAAACAAACAAATAACCTGAGCTAAAATGACCCACTGATTCAATGACTGCTATTCCTCAACAATCTTTGCCATTTATAAAAATATAATTCTTTAAATTATGTGTGTGCTTGTGCACGTGTGTCAGATCCCCTTGGAGCTGGAGTTACAGTGGCTGGGAGCTGCCTTGTGGGTGCTGAGAATCAAATTTGAGCCGTCTGCAAGAGCAGTAGGTTCTCTTAACCACTGAGCCATCTCTCCAGCTCTTAAAAAATTGATTCTTAAATGCACTAATGTATGAAGTTTGAAAAAATTGTTGAAAGGATTAATAATGGTCTGTAGTGTTTGCTCAGGGCGTTTCCTAATGGGACAGAAGCGCAAACTAGAAAACATTGAGGAAAGCCCCAAGACATGTCAGCATAGTATAAGGAAGCCATAACAGATTAGTTAGAATGCAGTGGGTGTGTTCTGTTTCTGCATGGAGAATTCTCTTCTGTGTGTGAGCTCAGAGGCCAGAGGCTGATGGTTGATATTTTCCTCTATTACTCTTGATCTTGATTTTTAGACAGGGTATCTCACTGAGCCCAAAGCTCACAGATTGGCTAAACTAGCCTGTCTCCACTGCCTCGTGCCCCCAAACCCTCACAGGTTCGGGCACCCACCACCATGCCTGGCTTTTACCTAGGTCCTGAGATCTGAGTTCAGATCCTCCTGCTTTGTGTGGTATACCTACAGAACCATCTCTGCAGTCTCTGCATAAAGAATTTCCTGACAGCCAGAGATCAAAGTGGTCTGTGCTGTTTGAAACAGTTCAACTTCACTGAAGAGATTAAGGAAATTGGAAAACAGAAACAACCACTATTTTTTTCAAAGCCTGACCATCTTTTTTACTCTTAAAGAGTCTTTTTTAAATTTTTTTATTTTATTTTTTCAATGTATTTTGATTGTATTTCTCCTCCTGTGATTGCTCCTCGGTCCTCCCCACCGCCCCACCCATCCAACTTTATGTTCTTTCTTTCAAAAAACAAAAACCCACAAAACCTCAAAATGAACAAACAAAAGACCAATAAGACAAAACAAAGCAAGACAAAGCCAAACAAAGTCCACAGGAAAAGCCATGGAGTTGTTTTGTTGCCCAGCCACTCCTAGGCATGGGGCCTGCCGTGGATATGGTAGATAGACCCACTGACACTCCCTCCACTGGAGAAAACCGATTTGTTCTCTCTTGTCAGTTGGTATCAGTTGCACATAGCTTCAGGGGTAGGGGTGGAACCCCATGTCCACATCCCTCTCTCAGTGCTGGGACCCATCTGGCTTGAACCTGTGCAGGTTCTGTGCGTGCTGCCACAGTCAGAGTTCATGTGTGCATCAGTGCTGTTGTGTCAGAAGACCCTGCTTCCTTGGAGTGGAACCCACCACCTCTGGCTCCTACAATCTTTCCACCTTCTGCATAGATCCCTGAGCTTTGAGGAGGGGGTTGGTGAAGACATCCCACTTAGGGCTGTGTGTGCCAAAGTCTTTAAACATTGTCCTGTTTAGTCTCTGTGTTAGTTCCCATCTGCTGTCAGAAGCAGCTGCTCTGACATAAGTTGAACGAGGCACTGGTCTGTGAGGTTTTTGTTTGATAGCCTCTTTTTCGTTGAGTTTTATTTTAGTTTGGGTTTTCATTAGTGATGTATTTCTTTCTTAAATTTTACTTTACTATCCTATACTGTTTTCCTTATTGCATTCAAGTGTATTTTCACGATCTTCATTAAGACATCTATTCGTGTCCTCTTTAAGGTCCTGGAACAATTGCTATTTTGAAGACCTTGTCTTGTGCTTTGAATAAATTACTTTTCTCAGGGCCTGTTGCAGTAGAGTTGGGCACAAAGGAGATGGACTAGAAAGGAAGGCTCAGAGATTCTTATTTTGTCAGCACTCAAAAGTAGAAGCTCTCAGCGAGGACAGCCCACGTCATGTGTCTTGGCAGTCTGTTCCTGACGTTATTCCTTGGCTTCCAAAAGCTTAGTGTATTCTGCAACCTCATTTTTCTTAGTGTGTTGTTCTTCAGAGCAGTTGGTCATTGAGTTGCAGGACAGGTGGAATAACAAGATGCTGAATTTGGGGTGCTTCTCGCCTTCTGTGTTTATGACAACATATTGGTGGACATTATCTTCTTTAGAGGGATTGAAAAGTTTGAGGATTCTACTTGCTCTTTTGGGTCCCAACTGCTGAGGCACAGAACTATCTGGCAGTACAGGAATAAATTTCCCCTCCCCTTTTTTTTCAATAACTAAGTTGAGAACACTCAGATTGATATCCAGAATGCCTCCCAGACTTGCACTTCCTTGGTCCCGTTCTCCTTGGTCTATAGTAAGAATGCTCTTTGCTCAACAACAGGTACACACTGCTGTAGGTCAGGACAACCTGCCTCTTGAAAAGATCTCATCTGCCATCCCACCGTGGATTCAGACCACATTACCCTTCCACTCTGTACTCAGGGCATTGGCAGTAACTTCTGTGGCTGTGTTTGAAGTTCGCATTCATTGTTGATGGCTAGTCATCTTGATGGAGCTGATCACTAGGAGGATCCATAAAAAAGATTTAAAAAAATCACTGTAATTAAAACAAATTTACCCATTGGTAGAGTTCATTTGTATGTTTTCATTGTATGTGTGTGAGTGTTTAGCCTGTACGGATGTCTGTGTACCACATGTGTGCCTGATGCCAATGGAGGCCAGAAGAGGGTGTTGGATTCCCTGAAACTGGAATTAAAGATGGTTGTGAGCTGCCATGTGGGCACTGGGAATCGAACCCGGGTCTTCTAGAAGAGCAACCAACGCTCTCAACTGATGAGCCATTCTTCCAGCTCCTTAAATACATTAAAAAAAAGTCTATGACCTTTGCCAAGACGTTTGTCTAGAATTTAATGAGATCAAATATTAGGTTTAAAAATAGTTACTCCTATTTGGCAGGGCTGAGATTCCAAACCAGCATCAAATACTGTTTGATTTTTAATGAGCCTCTGTGAGACTTTTGCCCATTCAGTCCTGTCAAACCTACAGCCCATGAGCCACATACAGCCAACACATGTGGCCTCAGACAAGATGGTAAACACACTTAAAACATTTATCTGTAACTCTGTTGTGTGATTCTGGAGCCTGACTGTTGGAGATGACAGCATTGTGGTGTTGCAGTGTCAAAAGTTGGACAGGAAAACTGGGCTTGGTGGTACTCACCCAGAATCTCTGCACTTGGTGGTACTCACCCAGAATCTCTGCACTTGGTGGTACTCACCTAGAATCTCTGCACTTGGTGGTACTCACCCAGAATCTCTGCACTTGGTGGTACTCACCTAGAATCTCTGCACTTGGTGGTGCTCACCTAGAATCTCTGCACTTGGTGGTACTCACCCAGAATCTCTGTACTTGGTGGTGCTCACCTAGAATCTCTGCACTTGGTGGTGCTCACCCAGAATCTCTGCACTTGGTGGTACTCACCCAGAATCTCTGCACTTGGTGATACTCACCCAGAATCTCTGCACTTGGTGGTACTCACCCAGAATCTCTGCACTTGGTGATACTCACCCAGAATCTCTGCACTTGGTGGTACTCACCTAGAATCTCTGCACTTGGTGGTACTCACCTAGAATCTCTGCACTTGGTGGTACTCACCCAGAATCTCTGTACTTGGTGGTGCTCACCTAGAATCTCTGCACTTGGTGGTACTCACCTAGAATCTCTACACTTGGGAAGTAGAAGCAGGAGGGTTATTTGGGAGCTATATCAGACTCAATTCCACCACCTACAAAAGGACATACACGGTGGGTATTTGACCAATTGAGTTGTGTGGTAGTGTTTTAAGTTGTTACATAATTCCAGATCTAATGACTGGCTAAGTTGTGATAATTGATCTTTAGTGATATTGTGTGAGTATCCTAAGACTAAAGAGACTAAGAAACAGAAAAATACAAGGTGAATATCCAGGCAATAGAGATAATATGTAATTTATAAGATTAAAAATCATATGTTTATGATACAGCTAATGAATTTCTCAAGTAATTAACTGTGGAACTTTTCTATAATTTGTCCAGAATCCAAGATTGATTAAAAAAATGATTTCAGAAAAGAGACCACTACTTTGAGAAGAAGCTTATCTTCTTGGATTGAGGGATGCATCCGCAGAGCCTCACTATATAAACCAGTCATCTTCCCAGAGGGAAGCATCTTAGCCTGTTTGCAAATGCGAGCTAAAGCACTGCCCGTAGTTAGCCTCTCCCCGTGGGTCAGTCAATCCTGCTGCTTCAGTGCTGTCTGGTTTGTAAGAAGACGCTGACGTCTTCCCACACAGGAGGAGTTGTGAGGATGCAGATGAGGACTAGAGGCCATGACTGGGAACAGGAGGGGTTGAAAAGAAGGACATCAAGAAATGGGAGAGGAGTTGAGGACAGAGGGGATGAGGGAGGAAGAGGAATGGGGAATAAGGAGGAAAGAAACCACAGAATCAAATTCTGTTTTGAAAAACACAGTAATGAAACTTAATTCTTTGTAAGCTGAAAAACAAAAACTCCAAAACTTAAAAAAAGAAACAAATGTTTATTTGCTTCTTTATATATAGAGATTTGTAATTGTGTGGAAAGGATTATCAGATAATTTTTCATCTGACCAGTTTAATTGAATTATGCTTTGCATAACAATACAGATCTTATAACTTGAATCCAGGTGAGTTATTGTGGGTGGCACATAAACTATTCTAGATTGCAAATATTAACGTTAAGTGGCTCTGTTACTTTGAATAGGTACCCTCTTGTCCCTTGTAATTATCTGTACTAAGAAGTGGTAAATGCATGTTGTATCAGTCTTTATCATAAGCAATCATAGTTGAGATAGTGAGTTCAAAAATTTAGCCCCTATTGCTATTAAGAAAATGCTTTTGCAACTCAGGGGCTTGTAGTTACTCATTCCCTTTTTCATTGATTGCCCACAGAATGTGAACCACTGTGCCCTTGCTTATCTTTAAAGCAGTGATTTATAGTTGCCAGAGTTGGTTAATTAGTGATGGAAAAGAAGTTTAGAGCCAGGCTACAAGGTGGCTCCAGCAGGCACTTGTCCAGGCAGGACACCCCGAGCTTGATTCCCGAGACACATAGCAGGAGAGAATTGCTTCTTGAGGCTACCCATACATGATAAAACAATGCAATACATCTTTTTAAAGGAGTTAAGTGAGGAGTTGGAGAGATGGCTCAGCAGGTAAGAGTGCTTGTGGCTCTTGCCGAGGACTGGGGTTTGATTTCCAGCACCCACTTGGTGGTTCACAACCTTGTAACTCCAGTTCCAGGGGATCCAGTGCATTTTTCTGGTCTCCATGGGCACCAAGCACATACATGGTATACATACATACATGCAGGCAAAACACACATAAAATAAAATGAATACATCTAATAAAAATGTAAAAATAAGTTTAGTGAATAATGAAATGGCATATTTTCCCTAGTAGAAGACACGCCACTAGCATGCTTGGTATATAGTAATAAATAACATTTTCTAATTATTTTCTGTTATGTATATCTAGGTCTTTACTCATTAAGTAAATATGCATCTTATATGAGACCACTCTCACTGACATTGATATATATATATATATATATATATATGCATATTTTAATTTACAACATAGAATGGTGCTAGTATAAAAATCTGTTATAAAGACATTGGAGATAAGGTAAAAAGTGTCCCTCCCCTGTGTGTTAGGAGATGACTTACAGATTGTCGTGATGTAGGTGATCCATGCTGGTAGCTTTCAGGCTGTAGAATTGTGTAGCGACTGGAATGAATTTGTTAAACGAAAGTTTGTTAAAATGAAAGTTCTGGTGGTTCTGAGAAGGTCTTTGGCAGGTCTGTGATTGTGCTCGGAGTCTGAATGTTTAGATGTTTTGGTGCTGGCGACTGAACCACAGGCTGGTCTCAGGAATGCTGGGCAGCTGCTCTGTTACTGCGCTGTATCCCTGAACCAAGACCGATTTTTAAAATGTATGTATGTGTTTGACCTGCGTGTGTCAGTGCGCCACTTTTGTGCCCGACACCCATGGAGGCCAGAAGTGGGTGCTGGTCATCTGAAACTGGAGGTAACAGACAGTTGTGCTGTATGGGTCCTAGGAATCGAGCCTGGGTCCTCTGAACAATAGCCAGGGCTCTTAACCACTGAGCCATTCCTCCAGCCCTGGTTTGAATTTTTAATAGTATGACGCAGGTCAATCTAACATAGAAGTTCCTCTGGCCAAACTTATTCTCTGTTACTTTTTAAAAACGTATTTCTATTTATGTGCACATGTGTGTTGCTGCTTCTCTGTATACGCACTACATGCGTGCAGTTGCCCGCAGGCCCGAAGCAGGCATTGGATCCCTGGTACTGGAGGTGCTGGTAGTTGTGAGCTGCCTGATGTGGTGCTGGGAGCTGATCCCAGGTCCTTTGCAGGAGCAACAAGTGCTCTTGGCTGCCGAGCCTTCTCTGCAGTCCATTGTTTATTTTTGAGGAGTGTAGCACAGTGACAGTAGTTTATGTGAATTCCGTTCAGACTCCATCTAGATTCTCAACCATTTAGTTCAGAACTTGTCCTGCTTCCACCTCCTGGATGTTGTTGGAATTAACAGTGTGTGCCACTACAACCCTGGCCCAAGTCTTTATAACCTACCCTTGAAATACTTTTTTTCTTTATGAATACTTTTATGTCTTAAAGTTTCACTGGTACAAAATCACCTTCAAAATAATTAGACTACCACTTCCAGCCAAGAATGAATCAAGGCCCAGGTGTGGTGGCGCACGCCTTTAATCCCAGCACTCAGGAGGCAGAGGCAGGTGCAGCTCTGTGAGTTTGAGGCCAGCCTGGTCTACACAGTGAGTTCCAGGACAGCCAGGGCTATGTGGAAGAGACTCTGTTCCCCCCACCCCCCAAAAAAAATTAAGAATAAAATAAAGCAAGGTTTGAATTGATAGTGTAGGACACAAAAAATTTAAAGAATTAAACATGGGCTTGTATAGTATTTTCTAATAATACCTCTTTTCTCCCTCCTTCACTTACTGATGCATCTTTACTGAAGTACTGGGTGTGAAGAGCTGTTGATTAACTTTGAAAATGCTTCTTTCTGCAGCTTCGAGACTGTATCCAAAAGACCTTGAATGAGTGGAGTTCCCAAATTAGCCCCGATTTGATCAGGGTAAGTGGAATGTGAATGCAGAAATCCTGCAGGCCTAAGCAGATGTGACGTGAGCAGGAAGCTGATTTTCTCAGTTTGGTGAGTGAAGTCCAGTAGGCAGTTGGCCATCAAGCCCTCTGGGGCTCTTTTGCTGAGATGGCAGTCTGGTCTCATAGGGCTGAGCATACAGCAGAATGTCTGGTCTCCAGTCAGTTCCCCATTTAGTTTCCCCTGCTTAGTTTCCACCAGTTTCCTCACCCACCAGTTTCCTTCCAGTTAACACTTGGTCTAGTCTAAGAGTGATTACCGACCTTGGCTAGTAGGTTGCTCCAGTAGAATGTCACCCCAATAATGTAGCTAGGAACAACTTTTTTTGTTTGTTTGTTTTTGTTTTTGTTTTTTCGAGACAGGGTTTCTCTGTGTAACTTTGCGCCTTTCCTGGAACTTACTCTGTAGTCCAGGCTGGCCTTGAACTCACAGAAATCTGCCTGCCTCTGCTTCCCAAGTGCTGGGATTAAAGGTGTGTGCCACCATCGCCCAACTGGAACAACTTTTTTTTTTTTTTTTTTTTTTTTTTTTTTTTTTTTTTGGTTTTTCGAGACAGGGTTTCTCTGTGTAGCTTTGCGCCTTTCCTGGATCTCGCGCTGTAGACCAGGCTGGCCTCGAACTCACAGAGATCCGCCTGCCTCTGCCTCCCGAGTGCTGGGATTAAAGGCGTGCGCCACCACCGCCCGGCTCTGGAACAACTTTTTAAATGTCAGTTTCTTGTGAAACATTAAGGAACTATACTTCATTAAATGTCAGTACCTGACTATTTTCAAAAAAGTTAACTAACCCAGTAAGTATCTGCAGCTGCTCTGAAATCCAACAGAAACAAAGGCTCGTGTTAGTTGTACACTACTTAAAAGCATGGAAGAGCATCAGGGAACATGGTATAAGCCTGTAATCCCAGCCCTTGGGAAGCTTAAGGCAAGAGGTTGAAGCCATCTTGGGCTATAGTGAAAGTTCCAGGATAGCCTTAGCTATACAGTGGGTCCCTGTTTCAAACAAAGAATATATGCTGGAAATACTGGTTCCTTTGGGCATGCTATTTTTAACCATCCAGCTGCTGTACAGAAATTAGTTAATGTCTGTTTATCTGAAATAGCTGTTTCTTCTGTGTCTGACTTTGTCAGCACTTGGTACTGATTTGTGCTGGGTATTATAATGTGTGCAGGAGCCACAAGAAAGACATTATTTGCTTTGTTAAATCTTAGGCAGTATTTTTCTGACTGATAGATGCTGTCTTTTTTATCATTATCCTAATAAATTACTCATTGTAATGTATTGGGATGGTCCTTGCCATTTAAAAAATGATACTCAAGAAAAGAACTATTTTAACTTAAAATATTTGCAATTTCAAAACTGAATATACTATTGTCATACAGTCCAGCAGTTTTATGCATTGGTATCTGCCCAAAAGACTTTAATATTTATGCACACAAAAATCCTATACGTGGATGTTTGTGTCAGCTTTGTTAGTAATTGAAAACAGTTTGAAGTAACTTAGATGTTCTTCAGTGGACAAATGGAGATACAAACTGTGATGCATCCAGGCAATGAGGTATTACTGAGTCCTGAAAAGCAATAAGCTATCAAGCCAGAAAAGACGTGAAGGAACCTGAAATGCATATTGCTAAGTGAAAGAAGTCAATCTGGAAAGAGTCCATACTAGATGATTATAGGTGAAGCACTCTGATGGGGATGTTGATAATGGTGGAGGCAAAGTCTGTGTAGAAGTAGGAGGAAGATGAGAACTCTGTTCTTCCTGTTCAGTATTGCTATGAACCTACAATTGCTCTGTAAAAAGTCTATTGAAGCAAAAGCAGCTATGTTACCTTAACAGGTTAAAGCTTGTTGACCTTGAAATCCAAAAGAATGATAAGATAAGGTTTGTTGGTTTGTTTGTTTTAGTTGGTGTGGTGGTTTGAATGAGAATGGCCACCATAGGCTCATATGTTTGTTGGGAAGGATTAGGAGGTGTGGCCTTGTTGGATAAAATGTGTCACTGGGGAGTGGACTCAGACCCTTCAAAAGCCCATACTAGGCCTAGTCAGTCAGTCTGTGTCTCTGTCTCTCTATCTCTCAACTAATTATAGGGCTTACCAGAAGGCATTGTAACAGGAGTAGAAACCATAGGCATTTGGACAACTTCTTCATGTAACTTGCTTGTGCCATCAGGACCTGCTCAGGCCTCATCATGTATACACCGCTTCCATTTGATTGTTGCTGTACATGTCCTGCTTTTGCTTGGTGGTTCAGATAATCCCAAAGGTCTCTTCTGTGATTCACCTCTAGGGGCCTGCCAAAGGCTCTAAACAGCATCCCTATCTGCCACTTGACATTTCAAGTACCACTGGGTCTGCTGGATCATGTGGTCCCAGTGGTAGAGCAGCCTGCACAGCAGCCTGGACCTGTTGCGGAATTTTCTCCCTTTCTAGGCCCCTCACAAAGCCAGCAGCTTTCCTTGTCACTTAGTATATGGGCCAAAGCCACACACCCAAGTGAGGAATGTGCTGTCCCCACAATCCCAGTAGGCCCACTAACTGCTGTGCTTCTTTCTTGGTGGGGAGGAGGGCTCTGTGCAATAGCTTATCCTTCACCTTAGAAGGAATGTCTCTGCATGGTCCACACCACTGGACTCCTAAGCATTTCACTGAGGTGAAGGCCCTTGAATTTTGGTTGGATTTATTCCCCATCCTCTGATGTACATATGTGCTACCAACAAGACCAGAGTGGTTGCTGCCTCCCACTCACTTGGTCCAATCAGCACAATGTCATCAATATTGTGGATCAGTGTGATATTTTGTGTAAGAGACAAAAGATCAAGATCCCCTCTAAGTTATGACAGAGGGCTGGAGAGTTAATACATCCTGTAAATCTGTAAAGGTATACTGCTGACTTGTCAACTGAAAGCAGATTGCTTCTTGTGGCCTTTGTTGACATGCACTGAGAAAAAGGCCTTGCTAGATCCATAGCCACACACCACTAGGAGATGTGTCCGTCTGCTCAAGTAAGGACACCAACCTTTGGTACAGCATAAGCTCATATGTTTGTTGGGAAGGGTTAGGGGGTGTGGCCTTGTTGGAGGAGGTGTGTCAGTGGGCATGGAGGTTTCACAAGCCCATGCCAAGCGCAGTCTCTCTCTCTGCTGCCTGTGGATCAGGATGTAAAGCTCTCAGCTACTGCTCCAGTGCCATGCTTGTCTGCTTCCTGATGCAATAATCATGGACTACCCCTCTAAACTCTAAGTAAGCCCCCAGATAAATGCTTTGCCTTGGTCATGGTGTCTCTTCACAGCATAGAACAGCAACTAAGACACTTGGTATATAGAAGGTTTTTAAGAAGATTTTAACATGTCATTATTCAAAATAGGTGATTTTCATTGATTAATTTTAAAGTAAAATTGTCTTCTGTGCCAGTGATTTCTAACACCTCACACAACTCTACACTCTTCTGCTTGTTTGTTTTTTTATTTTTGGTTATAAATATTTCTGAATCCCTGCTCAAAATGAGACTTTTTTTCTAGAAAATAGAAACACACACAAACACATACACACTTAACCTTTTACATCTGTACTTTATCTTGTAAAGTCCATTAGTCCTAAAAAACAGTCTTTGCTTCTGAAGTGCTTAGGACAGTAGGAAACTTTATAATCAGCAGGACTAACTTTATGTCCATTGTACTTTGTTTCCTACAGGAATTTCCAGATGTCTTGGAATGCACTGTGTCCCACGCACTTGAGAAGATAAACCCTGATGAAAGAGAAGAAATGAAAGTGTCTGGTAAGCTCCGCCCTTTCCAGTCACTCTCCTGTGCTGTGGACAAAGGGACTTGAGAGTAGATCCTTCCTTCTGACAGCGAGTGAGTCAGTCATTAGTGAGGAAAACAGATAACGTAGTTCTCATGTCAGCTCTGCAGAGTGAGTTATAGGAAGTCAGAGCTGAGGACCACGGAGTCAGAATGAAACTTTGACTTACTGTTCCTCCTGGTGTTTCTGTGTCTTGTGTGATTTATGTGTAGTCAGCAATAGGAAGAGTAAAGTGGAAAACGGGGCGGAGAGGGGACAGTCAGGAGCAGTGTCTGTGCAGAGCAGACACATCTCCCTTTCCTGGGGTGCTGGTCATGGTGCTGGGGCTGCCTGGAAGTATAGAAGGAAATCTGGGCAACAGTTATGCAGAAAGAGTATTTTATACATTCAGCATGTGTCAGTGACTGCTGCGTTTCAGAGGCAGCGGTGAAAAGTAAACAGTTTCTGCCCTAGCTTACAGACAGCATAGAGTTCATTCAAATCCTGAGCTTGCCTACATTCAAGTTCCTGGATGTGTAGATTACTGCCTAGAGTAATCTAGGGTTAGCAAGTGTTCGACCTCTCCGAGCATCAGTTTGTTTATCTACAATGGGATTCAATTATTTCACAGGCTTCTTTATAATATGGATGAAGTAACAAAAGAGGCACAGAGCTAGGGCACTTTGCCACAAAGTAGTAATAGATAACTATTATTTACTAACACATTGACAGAGACATATATGGTGGGATAATGAGATAGGAATGGTCTTTTCATTCCAATCATAACACCATCTGTTGAGCCTTACTTTATGCTAAGCACCAAATTGTCCCTTTATGATTATATTTCCTCATATAGTTATCCCCATCACACCAGTGACATTAATTAACGTGAAAGTTAGCAGAGACCTGGGTGTAGTGGCATACAACAGTAGTTCCAGCTACTTGGAGGTTGAGACGGGGGGATTAGAAATTTCAGCCTGCCTAACAACATAATGAGACCCCACCAGCTAAAAAAGAAGAAAAAAGAAAGCTGTCTTTCAGGCAGTGAACTGATGAACCAGCAGGCTGTGAAGGTATGCCTGACTCCAAAACCTATTTTCTCTGTTAACTTCACATCACTGCTTATGTAGGAAATGGAGGAAAGCCAACATTCTTATCTAGCTGACTGTATGTAGTTCAGCACTGTCTTGGGCCTCCTCCTCCAAGTTGTCCTCCAATCCTGCAGGGTTTGAGAATTTTGATAGGTAATAAAATTCTTACCATAAGAGAAGCTTGCCTCTTTTGTGGGAGACCAGCCCCCACCTTTTACAGGGTCCCTATGAGGAGGAAAGAGGAATAAGGAACTTATAGATAGAATGATAGGCCTAGCTGACAAGAGGAAAGACAGGATAGCCTTGGGAGGACCTGGGTCAATACCTAACGACCCAGAACTTTATTCCAAAGGGCTTTTTATAACAATGCCAAGGGGCTAGCCAAAAGACCTCCCCCTGCTAGATACAGCCAAGTGCAGACCCTTCCAAACACCTGGTACTCAGGCCCGTGGTCCAGTTATCCTCTTATGTAGCCCTGATGGTAAAGCAAGCTCAGGTCTCACTAGGAAACCTCTGTGGGATCCCACACTCTTCCTATCTCAATGTACCCTATCTTCCAGAGAGGTGGGGGGGGGGGGGGAGAAGGCCATTCCAGATTAGTAGTGGGAGATTTTCTTTGTTGCAAGGGGAGGAGTTTCAGACCTAGGGCTTCAACACGTGAAACAAGACATGCTTTACCATTGAGCTGTGCCCCAGCTGAGGAAGGTTTTTCAGCATGTTTTGTGTGCTCTTAAGCTAGGCTCAGTTGGTGAACACTGACTTATCTGCTAAGGGAGCTTTAATGGCTGCTCATTAGGAGTAACACCAGGACCGAGTTGTTTTAGGAAGATGTAGTAGTAGAAAAGAGGGGCCAGATAAACAAGTACAAGGACTTTGTTGCCTATGTTGAACGCTAGTCACTGTGTATGAGTGCTGTGGTAGTTTGAATGTGATTGGCCCCAGAAGCTCACAAGGAGGGGCACTATTAGGAGATGTGGCTTTGCTGGGGTAGGTGTGGCCTTGTTGGAGGAAGTGTGTCACTGTGGAGGTGGGCTTTGAGGTCTCATATGGTCAAGCCATGCTCAGTGATACAGTTCATTTCCTGTTGCCTTTGGATCAAGATGTAGAACTCTCCAGAACCATGTCTGCCTGCATGCTGCCACACTCCCCTGCCTCCACACTCCCTGCTGTGATGATAATGGACTAAACCTCTGAAACTATAAGCCTCCATCTCAATGAAATGTTTTCCTTTATAAGAGTTGCCGTGGTCATGGTGTCTCTTCTCAGCACTAGAAAGCCTAAGACAAGCATTTTGTTACCCCATTTCCTTCCATTCTTCTTTCTCACTGTGTTCTTTCACTGTTTTCATACCACTCTCGCATTTGTTCAAAACTGTAAACTTGCCGGGCGGTGGTGGCGCACGCCTTTAATCCCAGCACTCGGGAGGCAGAGCCAGGCGGAACTCTGTGAGTTTGAGGCCAGCCTGGTCTCCAAAGCAGTTCCAGGAAAGGCACAAATCTACACAGAGAAACCCTGTCTCGAAAAACCAAAAATAAAAAAAAAATTAAAAAAAAAAACTGTAAACCTACTCTGTAGACAGTGGGTTTATACAAACATGCACATACAGAGTTGTCAAAACTGTAAACCTACTCTGTAGACAGGGGTTTATACAAACATGCACATACAGAGTTGTCAAAACTGTAAACCTACTCTGTAGACAGGGGTTTATACAAACATGCACATACAGAGTTGTCAAAACTGTAAACCTACTCTGTAGACAGGGGTTTATACAAACATGCACATACAGAGTTGTCAAAACTGTAAACCTACTCTGTAGACAGGGGTTTATACAAACATGCACATACAGAGTTGTCAAAACTGTAAACCTACTCTGTAGACAGTGGGTTTATATAAACGTGCACATACAGAGTTGTCAAAACTGTAAACCAATCTGTAGACAGGGGTTTATACAAACATGCACATACAGAGTTGTCAAAACTGTAAACCTACTCTGTAGACAGTGGGTTTATACAACATGCACATAGTTGTCAAAACTGTAAACCTACTCTGTAGACAGTGGGTTATACAAACATGCACATACAGAGTTGAGTTTAACTTAAGCCAGAGCGCCAATCTTATATGTGTAAGTCTCCTTTATTGAGAATTAATCAACTTCAGGACTAAAGAGTGCTTGCTGCTCTTCCAGAAGACCTGAGTTTGGTTCCCAGTTCCCACATCAGGCACCTCGTAACCACCTGTAACTCTAGTCTAGGAGATCCAACATCCACTTCTGACCTCCATAGCCACCTACCCCTAAATATGTGTACGTGTTCACACACAAACAAAACAAAACTTCCCTAGTAACCGTACCAGGCTTTTTCTATCTCCCAAATCACGACACAGAGATTTAATATTAGTTATGAATGCTCAGCCTTATCTTAGCTCTTGTTTTAATCTGTTTCTCTTTAGCTATGTTTTGCCTTGGGTTTTTTTTTTTTTTAACCTTTCTTTATATCTTACTTTCCTGCTGTCTCCATATCTGGCTGGAAGCTACCTGGATTCTGGCCCTGGGGGTGTGTGTGTGTGTGTGTGTGTGTGTGTGTGTGTGTGTCTGTGTGTGTGTCTGTGTGTGTCTGTCTCTGTCTCTGTCTCTGTCTCTCTCTCTCTCTCTCTCTCTCTCTCTGTCTCTCCTAAGCTTAGATTTCTCCTCCTACTCATTCTCTCTGCCTGCCAGCTCTGCCTATCCCTCTCCTGCCTAGCTATTGGCCATTTAGCTTTTTATTAGACCAATCAAGTGCCTTAGGCAGGCAAGGTGAAACAAATGTAACACATCTTTACATAATTAAACACACATCCACACATCATTAAACAAATACAGCAGAAACAAATGTAACACTTTTACACAGTTAAAAAGTAATATTCCATAGCATAAACAAATGTAATACATCTTTACATAGTTAAAATATTCCACAACAAGTAACCAAAGAAATATCAAATTATAAAGCCTGGGAGGCTACATTTTATGCCTGCTGAATTTTAAGAAATTCCAACCAATTGACTGCTTGAAACTATAGATGTTTCAGGTCTCAGAGGTTCTCAGATTTGGGTTGATGCTGATTTTGCTGGTTGTGTATCTTGCATTGTAAGGGATCAGTTGTTAACTGTTGGTGGTCTGGAAAGCTGGGACATGGCTGTCAAAATAGAAGGCAGATACATAGAGGAAGACACAAGGTACACCAGTCCTTTACTCAGAATCACATTTTTTTTTTAAATTTTTAGAATTTATTTATTTGTATTTAAAAGGAACTGTTGACGACGATTCACTGAAACAATCCAAGTGGGAAAATACAGTCAACACTGCTGAAACATGTTTATTCCACTGAGCAAAACTTCTTAGATGGGTACTGACATGAAGCTGAGGGCTTCAGACTGATCTAAACACACGTGGTCTGATTAACAATATTCAATCACATCTTTCTTTCCTGGATATATAAAAATTAAAATACCAATTAAAAAACTAATATATCTTCTCTTTAAATGCTTCTTACAGATACAATCTTAGTATTATTTAATAGTGGTAATTTAAGAGATTTATTTTGCTCACAAGGTAAGCGACAATCTACCAAAGGGAACCAATAGTTGGCCTATAGGCTCATAGTGCAAATAAAAAGATCAAGAATGCAGCAACTGACATTTCTAAAAATAAAAAACATAAAATTCGTAGAAGTTTCATGCAAAAAGCTGTACTAAGCAGATGGCCGCAGAGCTAGAAGGCTTGCTAATTGTACTGGCAACATCAATGGGACTCCTCATCTTTGCAGACTCAACTTGAACTCTCGTCTTAGGCTTTGTATTTGGCTTTTCCAGTTTCACTAATGACACAAACATGATTCAAATCCCTGAAGTACTCATTATAGTCAAGGGCATATCCAACAACAAACTTGTCTGGAATTTCAAATCCAACAAAGTCTGGCCTATATCCAACACTTCGAGAGGTCCTTTTCACCAGCAAACTTGCAACCTTAACCATTTTGGGGTTGTACCGCCTGACCAAGGAAAGCAAAGTTTGCATTGTTTTACCAGTGTCAATTATATCTTCAACAATCAAGACATTCTTTCCAGTTAAAGTTGAGAGATCATCTCCACCAATTACTTTTATGTCCCCTGTTGACTGATCATTACAGTAGCTCTTAAGTCTGATAAAATCTACAGTCATAGGAATGGATCTATCACTATTTCTATTCAGTGCTTTAATGTAATCCAACAGGTCAGCAAAGAATTTATACCCCCCCTTCAGCACACAGAGAGCCACAATGTGATGGCCTCCCATCTCTTTCATGACATCTCGAGCAAGTCTTTCAGTCCTGTCCATAATCAGTCCATGAGGAATAAACACCTTTTCCAAATCCTCGACATAATGATTAGGAATACAAAATAAATCTAGGTCATAGCCTGGTTCGTCATCACTAATCACGACGCTGGGACTGCGGGTCGCCATAACGCTAGGATTGCAGGTCGCCATGTCGGAATCGGTGGGCTCGCGAGCCGACAGCGGTTCGAGGAGGAAGCTGGCAGAGGAGGCGTTACGACACGGGCCAGAATCACATTTTTAACAGCTCTTCTTAGGGAAATGAGTCAGTATAAAGTTGAATAAAAAGTTACCAAGTTGTTCATGTAACAAAAATTGGAGCTGCCACTGGAACGTTTAGGAAGGTAAATACTGAGTGAGCTACATACACCCTGTCAGTTTGCAGAATAATGTTCCAGAATGAGAACTGGAAACTGGTGTGGTTGCACCTGCAGCCCCGGCACTCGGGGGCGAAGGCAGGAGGACTGTGATCTTGAAGGCAGATGGGCTATAAAAAGAGACCTTGTCTCAAAAGAATTAGAGTATAAAATTGTGCATTAAAAACATAGGCTGGGGACCAGCCTGGTATCCATACATAATGCGTTTGATCTGCAGCACTCAAGGGAAATGAAGTGGCGACATTACAGCTTGCCTGCTGATACTGCTTGCTTCCTTTTCAGTCTTTTTTTTTTTTTAGATTTATTGTGTATACAGTGTTCTGTCTGCATGTATCCCTTCAGACCAGAAGAGGGCATCAGATCTCTTTACAGATGGTTGTGAGCCACTCTGTGGTTGCTGGGAATTGAACTCAGGACCTCTGGAAGAGCAGCCAGTGCTCTTAACCTCTGAGCCTTCTCTCCAGCCCACCTTTTTTTGGTCTTTCTACTTTGATTGATCTTCCTCATTTGAGGAGTAAGCACATCATTACTAAGGAAACTTTAGGATAACTACTACATAGAAACACATACAAAATACTTACCACACAAAGATAAACCCAGTGGGGCTCAGAGATGGCTCAGCAGGAAAAGGCACAGGACCAGAGGTGGGTTCCCAGCACCATGTCAGGCAGCTCACATCCTCTAACTACAGCTCCAGAGGGGCCTGATGCTCTGAGAACACCTGCACTCATGTGCACTTACACATGCACATAATTAAAAATAATTTTTAAAAATTTAAAAGAGAAACCAACTAGAGCTTTAAGAAAAGGTATACCATGTTTTATATTGTGGAGATATATATATATGGTTTTTTCCCCCCAATTTTCTTCTCATTATACACTTAGAGGCTTGCTTAGATTTGGATCATTGTAGAAGGCATGTAAATTGGTCCATAATGCTTAGCTTATAAAAATAGACATTTGAAATAATTTCAGGTCCTATTTATCTACCCTGCCCTGTAATACATGGGAAATTATTACTTGTTTTATTCTTGAGAAACAAACATGTTGACAACCAGCATGTAATTTAATATTTACAGTAAAAGTGCATGTGTCTGTCTTAAAGTAGAGCTACACAATTACAGAAGTAGGAAAAGAAAACTAATTCCTGTCATGGTGATCCTGCATACTAAGATGTGGACACATAGAAGTGCACAGTAGGATGTGGACACAGGCGTGCACAGTAGGATGTGGACATACATGATCACAGTAAGGTGTGGATACACGAGGTAATCAGCTTTTTCTTTGTTATCCAGCAAAACTGTTCATTGTAGGATCGAATTCTTCGTCATCAACTAGAAGTGCAGTTGACATGGGTAAGCAAAAATTTATCTTTTTCATAATAACAGATTTTTAATTATCTTAAGTGAATTAGGTATAACCAATCTAGATAAAGAAAATAAGGTGATTTCAATTTTACCATTTGAACTTCTAGCCTAACTTTTAAGATTTGCATAGAACCAGTCTTCACGTACATACAGTGATGTTTTGTTAGAAATGTAAAAGATGTATTAAATGTTATCTGCTTGAGGATAGAATTTCTCTGTAATCATTATTAGTCCTTTAAGTATTACACTATAGATAAAATATTGAAATCAGAGACAACAAAATACAAATACTGTGGATTCACTTTCAGCACCTGGTTAGGTAAAAAGAAAGGAAGGCAGACCCCAAGGAAGAGGGCAGAGCAGAGACCCTCTTGTCTGCTGCACAGAGAAATAGGTGAATGAGCACTTACAGACATGTTCTAAGAGACAGGTACATTATACAGTCATGTGTTATACAGAGAACTAGTTAGTGACCAGACAGAAGTCAGTGGGATCTGGTGAAGACAGTCACCTTGTTTGAGTAGGTAGCACACAGTCACCCTCTGTGTCTTCTTTCCGCCAGCGTGCTCCGTCCTTGGAGTCGCACAGCTGGACTCTGTGATCATCGCCTCACCTCCCATTGAAGACGGAGTCAATCTTTCCTTGGAGCATCTGCAGCCCTACTGGGAGGAACTAGAAAACTTAGTTCAGAGCAAGAAAATTGTTGCTATAGGCACCTCTGATCTCGACAAGACACAGCTGGAGCAGCTGTACCAGTGGGCACAGGTAAAGGGCATCCACATCCTGACACTTGCCACACTGGAGCATCATCCATCTAGTGCGTGTTCACTTTGGGGTGACTTCTAAATGTGAGAGCTTGGAGACAGGCTTTATCTAAAGCATTAGGAGCGTGGAGTTTTGAGTTTAATATGTCTAATTGAACTGAGTATTCATCCCACTTAAAATGAATGAAGAAAACTAAATGCTAAGTTTTCAGAGCAAATGAATTAAAACCATTCGTTCAGTTTTACATGAGATGAAAATATTACACTTTGGGTATTATGGCTCTAATTTCTTAAGTAAGGAAATCTATGTAACAATATTTTTCTATTAAGTAAAGAGGTATTAGACTTAGTCTGTTGAACCTAATATGGACCAGGAATCATAAAGCCATCATCTCTTCACTCTAAGGACCTACAAAATTATGCAGGTTACCAGCATGTTACCTTGACTTCTATATCTTGTCTCTATTCCTTTTATTTCATTCTCAGCTGCTTCCTCAGACTTCCAGAGTTGATGACAAGGAGGAAGACCACAGAGAGCATTGTTCCTTCTCTTGTTGACTTGGTAGCAGTATGTGGCCAAGACACAGCTGGAGACTTATATAGGAAGTATATAACCATTAGCCAGTGCAGCTCCTGGGAGTTAGGAGTCTCCTTAGATGCCTGAATAGTAGCCACAATTTATACCTTGACATTCAGTGTCTACCTTGAAGATAATTCCCTGTTGCTGAAACTGTTACCTTTAGAATCACGGCTTCAGAAACAGATGTACTAGATTATTAATGATTCCAGTGGGCTCTAATTTGAATCTTAATGGTAAATGTCATTCTGTATTGTCTTTCCCCTCATTCTAGAACTTTTTTTTTTTGTTATCATTAACATGGATTAGGAAGGCGTATATTAATACAGATAGTCATGCAAAAGTATTTTATAAATGAAGAATTGTCAAGTATAGTTTTATGTTCTAAAATGTACTGTTGTCATTTTTTAAATGTGGGGGCTAGGGCAATGGCTTAGTTAGGTTCTTGCTATATTAGCATGAGGACCTGAGTTCAAATCCTAGCATTCAAAAAAGCACATGTAAAAATACCTAGCAAGGCAACACCTGCCTGTGATAGCACATCTGGAGAAGGCGGAGACAGGAAGATTCCCGGGAGATGGATGGATGGCCAGCCAGTCTAGCTGAATTAGTGAGCTCCAGGTTCAGTGAGAGACCCTATCTCAGACAATATGGAGGAATTACTCAGACAGTAATTGAGGAAGACACCTGATACCAACCTCTGGTTTCCACCTGCACCGGTCTACACACATATGTGCAGACAAAGACACAAAACTGTCTAACTAAACATGTAAAGCAATGGGCTTCATTATAGCATTTTCATACATATGTCATTATACTAAGTTGTAATTAATTCCCCTCTTACCACTCTTCCTTGTGGGGCTCCTTCCTTTCCTCCTCATTGTATTCCATGGATCTCTTCCTCCCCTTTCTAGCTTCATGACCTAGACACATGTGCACACATACACAGAGCCTAACATCAAAAGTCCCACATGTGAGAGAACCATGCAGTATTGCCTTTCTGAGTCCGGCTTATTTCACTTCACATACTAGTTTCTAAGTCCATTTCTTTTCCTGCCTGTATCATAGCTTCCTTTCTTTTATGGTGACTGGAACTCCATGGTGTTTTTGTAGCACGTTGTAGGCTGGTTCTGTTCCTTAGCTACTATGAATAGTAGTTTTCTACCTTTTTTTTTCCCAGAGCTCAGGACCAAACCCAGGGCCTTGCTCTTGGTAGGCAAGCGCTCTACCACTGAGCTAAATCCACAACCCCAGTTTTCTGCTTTCTATGTTCTATATGACATAATTTCATATATTTTATTTCCACTTTTAGGTAAAACCAAATAGTAATCAAGTTAATCTTGCCTCCTGCTGTGTGATGCCACCAGATTTGACTGCATTTGCTAAAAAATTTGACATACAGCTACTGACTCATAATGACCCAAAAGGTAAGACTGATATTTTCATTTATAGGTATTGATCATGAGCTTTTGGAAGGCCAAAGCTATTTGTTTAATGGGCTGGAGGTGCAGGCCAATGATAGAATGCTTGTCTAGAATGTGCACGGCCTAGGTTTGATCCCCAACATACTGCACACAAATTTGAAAAAAGAAAAAAGAAAAGAAATGTTGAAATTTTAAGTGTGTGCTGTGATAATGTGCAGTGTTGTCAAACGGAAATATTATTGTTAATTTAAAATGTACACATCTTTATTTTTGTCTCTGCAGTGGTGGAGTTGTAAATCAGTTGGCAGGATCCTATGCAAGAGCATGAGAATGAATAACCCGTTTCTCTAGACCCACTTTTTTTTTTTAAGAAAGCAATGGGGGTGCTGGAGAGATGGCTCAGAGGTTAAGAGCACTGGCTGCTCTTATGGAGGTTCTGAGGTTCTGAGTTCAATTCCCAGCAACCACATGATGACTCACAACCATCTATAATGAGATCTGGTGCCTTCTTCTGGCATGCAGGTGTACATGCAGACATAACACTGTATACATAATAAAGTAATGGGAGTAATGCTCTGATGAATATACTTAAATATCGTGCTGTGGCCAAAGCAAAAGTTCAATGTATGGAAAACTAGATTTCTTTTTGCCATGATGAGGAATTTGTTATGATATATACCGAATATACTAATGGGGGAGTTAAATTCTCCTGTAGTTACACCTTTTTGCACATACTGTTAATATTTCCCAATGTAATTAAATACAATATTGTGTGAATCATTCTGTCTCCTCTCTCTCTCTCTCCCTCTCTCTCTCTCCCTCTCTCTCTCTCCCTCTCTCTCTCTCCCTCTCTCTCTCTGTCTCTGTCTCTCTGTGTGTGTGTGTGTGGGTGTGTATGTGTGTATGTGTAGATGAATACATTCTAGAAAAAGTCCTGATGAAATATATAATAATAGAAATGCTGTAAATAGGGTTAGGAATGATTTATTTTCTTCTTACTCTCTTGTATTTCCCTGCTTGTACATTAGAGTCCCCTGGAGATCTTCAAAGATTGCATACTTCTAGGCTCCACTAACCAGAAGTTACAAATTCAAGAGGCTGGGTTACAGGGTGCATTTTAAAAGAACTGGTCATGTTTAATATTGTAGTTCAGTTTAGATGATACATGTATTTTATATTCAGTTTTGTTTTGTATATATGAATGACCTGAACTTCTGATCCTCCTGCCTCCACCCCCCAAGTGCTGAGTTCCAGCTCTGTGCCATCAGAGCTGGTTTATGTGGGTGGGGCAAACAATACCAGGTACATTCTAGGCAAGCATTCTACCAGCCAGCTAATTTCCTGACCCTGTATTCAGTTCTGTTGTGTTTAAATGCTTACTTACATAGTAAAGAGCTTTTGTCTTCAGACCTAACTTGTTGGGGGTTGCTGTTTTAGAACTGCTTTCTGAGGCAAGTTTCCAAGAAGCTCTTCAGGAAAGCATCCCTGACATTGAAGCCCAGGAGTGGGTGCCGCTGTGGCTGCTGAGATACTCAGTCATTGTGAAAAGCAGAGGAATCATCAAGTCAAAAGGCTACATCTTGCAAGCCAAAAGAAGGGGTTCTTAACTACAACTCAAGCTCATAACTTACTGACCTGTATTTATCTCAAACGTAAGATAAAAAAATTCATAAGATAAAATTGAGATGTGTAAAAAATCTAGCTATTGCCTATAAGAAGTGTCGTTGAGGCAATGTGTTGTCAAGTTTTGAATACTTCTCTTGCCTCTTCATCAGCACACTCGCAGGAACCACTGTATTGTTTTCATTAAACTATTGTTTTCTAACTGAAATTGTCTATAAAGAAAAATACTTGCAATATATTTCCTTTATTTTTATGAGTAATAGAAATCAAGAAAATTTGTTTTTAGATATATTTTGGCTTAGGCATCAGGGTGATATATATACATATTTTTTATTTCCAAGATTTATTAATTGCTTCTTACTCTATACTTCTATACTCTATAACTAAGCAATTAAATTACAGTTGTTAAAATAGATACTGGAAGATATTTTTTTCCTGTCATTGGCAAAATAATCTATCTCAGAGTAACTACAGCAGCTGGGCTCTACTAGTAATGTAAATAAAATTCATTCTTTGATCCACGAATGGAAACTTAATCTTGTGTCTTCTTACAGCTTAACTATGATCTGACCATGTGCTCTGTGTCATGTTTCTTCCACCTGTTATTTACAAAGACAAGCCCAAGTGAATCTGAAAAGGAGACTTGATGCTTTACCATTATTGTTTGGGAGTTTGAGAAAAGCAACTACTGTCCTCTTCAGTCTCTGGAATTCTTAACACATCCTCAGTGTGTTACTGCTCACTCAGGAGTATTCACTAGCTCCGTTGCACTCACACCATGTGCTCGGCACTGTGAGCTCTGGAGAGACAGCTTAAGAGTCAGCTAAGTAAGATGTGATAGCTGTACCTATTCATTACTGACAAGGAGCGAGTAAAGCCAAGTCTGAGGGGAACCATTCAGTTTAATTTCATACTAGTTTAAAAACTGAACATTTGCAAACATGCCGTGATGCTACCTGCAGCACACTAAAGGGTCTTAGGCTGTAAACTTGTGCCTGTTACCCACTCTGTCTCTCTTTAATGGAGATCTTATATGTCAGTATTCTTTAACATAGGCCTTGAAAAACTAATTTTGCTCAGAAATTTTCAACTTAGAACTATAGTCTATGTTAAGTCAACACAGTAGACCTTTTTTCTAAGTAAGGCTTTGTGGTTACTGATTGGATGGTTTTCTCAATTAGAATTATGTGAAACCAACTGATTTGCCTGCTAAAACTTGTGTAGAATTTAAACTGAAAGCCTATATTTACATTGATTGTATATAATGCTAAATATATAGGTAACTTTTAAATTTGGAAATTCGATATTGCATAAATCTTTAAATATGTTTTATTTTAAATCTGTGCAGTGAGCTGGCCAAGCTACTCTGAGGGAAACTTTGGTATCACCTTTATGGTTTTTTAAAACCTGGTTTTTTGAAGGGTTACTTTGACAATGTGAGAAAACAAAAACCAAACCTTTCTTTGCTTATGTATCCAGATCTCAGCTAGAGCTTGTGATCATCTTCCACTCTCACCGGGGAGGAAGGACAGTTATGGATTCAGTTTGTGAAGGGATCATGTACAGAAAAGAAAAATTTCATGTATGGAATTTTTAAGTGATTCTGTTGTTCTTTGGTACCAGGCTTTTTCTTTGGGGCCACCTATCAGCTCCCAAATCATGACACAGAGACTTATTAGTTTTGAATGTTTGGCCTAGCTTAGGCATGTTTCTGGCTAGCTCTCTTAAATTAACCTGTCTCTTTTTATCCACCTTTCACCTCGGGGCTCATCACCTTTCTTCCTTCTGTGTATCTTACTCTCACTGCTTCTCCATGGCTGGCTGGCGGCTGCCTGGCTTCTGACCCCTGGTGTGCCCCCCATTCTTCCTTTCAAGCCTAGATTCCTTCTATTTAGTCTCTCTGCCTGCCAGCCCCACCTATCCCTCTCCTGCCTAGCTATTGGCCATTCAGCTCTTTATTAGACCAATCAGGTGCCTTAGGCAGGCCAGGTGAAACAGATGCAGCACATCTTTACATCATTAAACAAATGGCAACATAAACAAAAGTAACACACCTTTACATAGTTAAAGTAATATTCCTCAGCATAATGTAACACATCTTTGCCCAGTTAAAATATTCTTTTACTCCAAATCCTTAAGTTATTGGATAACCTTTTAAAATGAGTCTTTTGGGGGCTGAAAAGATGGCTTAGTGGCTAAGAGCATTTGCTGCACTTGCAGAGGATCCAGATTCAGGCCCCAGCACCAACATGGTAGTGTCCAACCATCTGTAACTCAGTTTCAGGGGATCCAATGTCCTCTTCTGACCTGGAGGCACCAGTCATACACATGGTATATACACACAGATCTTTCAAAAATACTACCCAAGTAACTGCTTAAAATGAAAAGCTAAGTTATCAGTAGTGTGTGTGACAGATATATTTTAATTCAGTGACCCAAGGTAGAAATACTTTGTGTATAATTTCTTTCCAAGTAAACATTTTTTAAAAGGTTTTTAGCTTACTATGTTTTCAAAATCGACAGGTGCCTTACTCAGCAGCATTCTGTTACTTGGGATTTATCCTATGAGTTTACCTTGAATTTCCATCCAAGAGACTATAGACACCAGAAGGACCAAGGTCTCTAATAAGCTAGATTCATATGCTGTATATTCTAAAGACTTTTTTTGTTTTTTTGAGACAGGATCTCTGTAGTGCTGGAGCTTGTAATATAGGCCAGGTTGGCCTCAAACTCAGAGATTTGCCTGCCTCTGCCTCTCCCGAGTGCTGGGACTAAAGGCATGTGCCACCATGCCCTGCCCCTGAAGACCATACTGATGCCAGAACACTAATACAGTATCCATTTAAGGATGACTAGTGATAGAACATGAGTCACAAATATCTAATAGAGTTTCAGTTCAGAAAAATGGTCATCTGGACATGTATGTGAACCGTATGCTTTCATTTGGTTGTGTCAATGGTGGGAACATCTAGGACCTAAAGCATCACATTACTTTTAACTATCTGAATTTAAACAGTATGATTTGAAAATAAATGACTTAAGAATCTATAAAGGTAAAACAAAACTGACGTTATTCTGTATTGCACAGGCAGTTCCGGTTTTCTGTGAAAATCAGAAAGCTATTTTGTCTATTTTGCATGAATAGTTCGGATTTTCTATATCGGGGCTAAGCAGTAACCAAAATTAGGATCTTGCTTTTCAGGGACAAAAGTTGTAAAGCTCATCTTAATTATATGTCTTTCTCTAAGTGTTTCCTCCTAGGCTATCCACCAAGTACTTTGATCTTTGAAATGTAAGCAACCAGTCACTGGTGTATACCGGCTGGCAGTTCATCCTTCTGCCAAATGTTTGGATAGAGAATTGTGAAGTTTTTCGAAGAATTTAAATCACTTGTACAATCTGTGTTCTTATACTCAAATACACCAGCTTTGATTCTAAACCTATTTTTCCAACACTAATTTCCAATGTTCCAAAGTTAATTACCTCTCTCTTCATCATAAGACTGAAGGAATATGTCAGAGTTTGATTTTTCAAAAATATGTAACAATATTTTATAGTTTTCAGATTGGGGGAAACAGAAAATGGAAATAATGAATTATTATGTGTCTGTAGTAGTGTACTAAAGCAAAATATAAGGCATTGTTAAAGATAATTTTTATTTTGCTTATATTACTTAAAATGTGAGTTGTATGTTTTTTATTTGAGTTGTGTGAAAAATGGGAACATCTTACAGCATCACATTGATTTTGAATCATTTGAATTCAACAATATGATTTGAAAATAAATTGTGAGTTACTTGAAAAATATCTAACCCATAAAGCTATTCATTCACTCAGCAGAGATGTGTGCTGTGTGTTATGCAAAATGCTACAAATGGACACAGATCAACATCCTTATCTTTAAAGAGTTTACAGTATATTCAAAGGGAGGAGATGAGGTCATGAAGAGCAATAAAAAGCTATCTTGGTTGGCAGCAGAAATGGGGAAAAGGTTGGAGGATGTGGAAGAAAGTGCCTATGTAGTTAACTTTTATGGTCAGGTGGGAACAAAGTGTGCTGAGCATTGTGGGTAGAGATCCTTCTCTGCCTGATTTGTAAATATTTTATCAAATGAGTAATTTATATGTAAACATGTCAGTTCAATGAAGGCATCTTCAAAGTCTTATTCTGGGGCTAGGGAGATGGCTGGCTCCAGGGATACCTCATAGACAAGCATGAGGGTGTGAGTTTGGATCCTCAGCATCCACATAAAAAGCCAGGCATGGCAGTGGAGTGGTAATCCCAGCACTAGGAAGCAGACAGCTCCACCAGTCAGCAATCTCTGCTTCACTTAGATCTTAAAAAATGAGATGGAATGTACCAGAGAAAGATACCCAGTAAAGTAGACCTCTGGTCTGTGCATGCATCTGTATGGGCACACAAGCACATGAGCACAGTCACACAGAAGGCTTGTTCGGTTGAGGTATAGCTGGAAAAGTCACATTGTATAAAAGAGACTAAAGCTTGTCATCCCCACCCCCCAATAGGATATGATTGTATATCCATTGCCAGAAAATTAAAACAGGATGTGTTTCGTTAGCATGTATTTCATACATGGATTTGGTATGTCCACTTTCCATCGTTTTAAGATGCTTCATATCTTAAGATAATTATTACTTTGAGTCAGCTCTCTTCCCTTTCTTTGCTCAGTCCTGGTGGTTGTACTGTGCTCATTAAATTCACTTGTTTTTCTTATATCCTTAGTAATTTTCACCAACATCTTTGGAGTAGTGTTACGGTTTGGATCTTAAATCCCCGCAAAGGGTCGTGTATTAGAGTCCTGGTCTTTGGCTGATGGTACTGTAGGGATGTGGTAGAAACTTTAAGAAGTGGAGCCTAGCGGAAGTTAGGTCATTGGAATTCTTGAAGAGGGATGAGGGCCCCGGCCCCTCCTCCCTCTATGCATCTCAGCCACCATGTGGTGAACAACTTTGCTGTCACATACTCTCTTGCCATCAGCCTAAAGGGACAGACTGAAGTGACGTAGGCTGCAGCCTCTGAACTGTGAGCCCAAATCTTTGAAGCTGTTTAACCAGAAATTTTGACACAGCAACGACAGCTGACTAGGACATGCAGTGAACTTGGTGGTTCTGTTTGACTGAACATGTAGTTCATACTCGGTCTTTTTATTTCTTAATCGTGCCAGAGATTGAACCCCAGGCCCTGCAACTGTTTAAAGATGTTCAACATTATCATCAGGGAAGTGCAGCTTAAACTATAGTGACATGTCACTAATGACACAAAATGTAAAGACTCACTACAGCAAGTGCTGGTGAGAATATGATGGAAATGTAACTCTCAGATGTTGGCGAGACTGAAACTATCGCTATAGAAAATACCCAGGCATTTATTTTTTTCTTTTTGTTCTTGAGACACAATCTTGTTACGTAGTTCAGACTGGCCTGGGTCCTCCAGCATTACAAGTGCTGAGGTTGCAAGCCATGCACTACCATACCTGGCTTTGGCATTTCTTATAAAATCAAGTGTACACTTGGCATGGCATTATTCCACTCTAAGGCAGTTGATCAGACTGAAGATCTCAATCTCTCACTGGCTATTTCAGCCAAAAAACTTCTCTCCTAGTCTTCACCATAGAGCAGCTCACATCCAGCAGTGAGCTTTCACCAGATAGCTGAGAGAACAAGATGGAACCTTTTACACCTAAACTGAAAAGTAACAGCCCTCACTGTTGTCAATGTTTCCACGAAGCCTAGCCTGCCTTAAAGAATGTGAAGATAGGAGATGGACTCGAGTTCTACCATTAGCGGGAACACATGTTCTTGTCCTTCACTTTTATGAGACTCCTAAAAGCACAGGTTGCATCCTCAGGGCACACAACGGCTGCTTGAAAACCAGAGACATTCTCCAGGAGAAAACAAACCAACCACTTTACTAAGCATGAGTCATGTTTTTAAGACAACTTCTGACAATCAAAACTTGGTCATGGCTGGGCAGTGGTGGCATACGCCTTTAATCCTGGCACTCAGGAGACAGACAGGGGATCTATGTGAGTTTGAAGCCAACCTGGTCTACAGAGAGTTCTGGGATAGCCAGGGCTGTTACACAGAGAAGCCCTGTCTTGAAAAAAACAAAAATACTTGGTCACTATGCATACCTGCCTCTAAGGCAAATGAAGAGGAGCTACTTAACTCAGAAGCAGTGTACCCACTGGAATACGTGTTACCAAAAGGGTTTTTTTTTTTTTTCGTTTTTGTTTTTTTGAGACAGGGTTTCTCCGTGTAGTTTTGGTGCTTGTCCTGGATCTCCCTCTGTAGACCAGGCTGGCCTCGAACTCACCGAGATCTGCCTGGCTCTGCCTCTCAAGTGCTGGGATAAAAGGTGTGCACCACCGCCGCCGGGCTGGAATACATATTTTTAAGAAAAATTATTTTGTGTTTAAAAAATGAAGGAAAATAGATTCGATGAGGCACATCTTTTCTTACTCCCAACATTAATTCCTTTACCCCTTCCTCAGTCCCTTTTGTAGTCTCTCAACATAATCTAGTTCCATCTTTCATCTGTAAAACAAAACTGAACACCTCAACCAGGTGTGAAGGTGCATGTCTTTGATCCCAGCACTTGAGAGGCAGGGGCAGGTGGATCTTTGAGCTCAGCCTGGTCTACATAGTGTGAGTTTCAGGACAGCCAGGGCTACGTAGAGACCTTATCTCAAAACAAAACAAAAACCCCGAAACCCTTTTGATTTGGGCCAGTCTCTGCCTTTCGTTTTATCCCTCTTGTAACAGTTTAGGGGTGGGAGGCGCCCTTGGCGAGTTGGAGCCAAGGGACACCACAAAGTCACACCATGCAACAGAGCTCACCGAGAGAGGTTTATTGGGGGGCGCGGTGCAGAGGAGGCCTCTGGGGGAGGCGGAATGAGCTTGCCTTTTTTTTTTTTTTTCTTTTTTTTGGTTTTTTGAGACAGTGTCTCTGCGTAGTTTTGGTGCCTGTCCTGATCTCTAGGCCAGGAGGGCCTAGAAGCTTGCCTTTTATGAGAGGATATAGCGCATGCGCCTAGGGCGAGTGCTCTACTTAGTGGCGGCAGCAGCTACAGTGTCACGTTTTGGCTGCTACTGATGACGTAGCCTGCTAGGTCCCCGAGAGCACGCCGGTGTAAATGCCTGAATGCTAACACCTCTCCACAATTTCTTTCCTTTTCTTTTCTTTTTTAATTTTAAAGCTTATTTTAAATCCGGAGATATCTTAGTTAAATCCCGAGCTTTCTAATTATTCTCCGAGATCCTGGGCACTTAACATACATCCTTGTATCCAAACAAATCTCGAAATCTCATTTATATTTAACTTAACAAATACTAGTGTTTTCTAAAAGAACTAAAGTCTCCCTTTACCTTCAGTCAAGACTCGGGTGAAAGATCTTAAAATTACTGCAAAGAAGACGGGTGGGAAGCAGGGTAAATAATGCAACTTCCCGTTTTGTGTAAAATGGCGAGGAAGGCCTCTGCGGCCGCGGAGAGCACCGCGGGAGGCGCTCGGAACAAGAGGCGGGTCGTCTTCTACCGGGCTGACCCGCTCTGCCCCTGCGGCGGGCGGCGGAGATCCTGTCTAGAACTGCCCCAGAGCCCGGGAAGGAACAATTCTCCCGAGCCTCGGTTTCCGCAGGGACTCATAAGCGAGGCCCTTGTCCGACGCACTTCCGGAGCGACGGAACAGAGGAAGCCGCGCTGGCTCCGAGTAAAGAGTCGGGGAAATGGTGGTCACCAGGTCCGGGCTGTCCCGGACTGCACTCCAGGTCGCGTCAAAAAGCTCCCAGCAGAAGGTGAGCGATCCCAGGTTCCCCGAGTCTCCTCGCCGCTAGGCAGAGCAGCTCGGCCGGGTGGAGGAGAGCGAGGGGGCTCGGCGGGGCGGAGGAGGGTGAGGAGGACCCAGCCTTGCGCGCAGTGCTGCGCCTAGTCGGCCCGAACCTGGTTCGGCCTCGGGGTCTTTTAGGGCACTTACCAGAGTGTAGGTTGGTTGCCTTGTGCAGATGAGTCCTTTTAAGCTTTCTGTTGAGACAATACCAGGGAAGATTCCAGCCACCACTCCCGATTCTCATTTCGGGGATGAGAGGGAGCATTGTTTTCACGTGGGGAGGCTGGCGGTGGCCCAGCACCAACTCCTCTGGCGTATTAAGGGCGGCAGTGTGTCTCTCAGAGCTTCTGACTGTCTCCTGCTACCATGCTCTTTAGCTTGTGTGGTAAAGGATGTAGAGCAACCCTTTCCTGTATGTAAAAACCAGGCAAGCAGCGGATTCCCTTATACACTCATAAATGTACATATGCTCTATCTGTTTAGTTAGTACTTAACTCCCCCGCCCCCTGGGCTTCTATAAATGATTTGGATTTTTTTTCCTCTAAGTGGAGAAAATTCTCTTTTCAGTTCTGCTTTCTGAAAAAATTACTTCATCATGAGTTTGGCTTTGTTTGGTACCGTATTCAGTTTTGCTGTTTGAGATCTTAACCGCATTTGCTTTCTCTTGTCCCAGCCCTATCTAAATAATACTGTGTTTGTTTTTGGTTTGCAGAGTTCTGCCCCTCAAGGAATTGGGACACATCTAGAAAGCAAGAAAGAATCAGGATCCGATGACAGAAGTACTACTGAATCACAGACTGCTGAGAAACAAAGTTCAGTCCTCTCCAGGAAGAGGAAAAGTAGAAATACAGGCCCTCCGGCAGAGATAGCTGAACCGGCTACCGATGCAGAGGCCTCTGAGGCAGAGTCCCATGCTTCAGGGGTTTCTTCTGTGTTGGAGGTCCAGGAGCCCATTGTAAGAGTAACTAGGAAGAGGCAGGTTGTAATTGCACCCACCCCAAAGTCCAGTGTTAGGAAAAGGCAGAAAATCACCCCTCAACACGAATCTCTCGATGAAGGAGTTGTTTCTGACACAGAGTCTCATGCTTCGGGGGTTTCCATGATTGTCCCTTCCACAGAAAGAAGCAGCAGAAGAAAGAAGGGTAAATCTGAAACAGAGTCAAGCCAAGAATCACAGGCAGAAGCTATATCTGATGCTGAGTCCTCATGCTCAGGCATTTCCTCCTCTGGGGTTACAGCCAGGAGACCAGCCAGGGCTATGCAGAAGAAATTACAGGCCCAGGCTGAGAAGAAAGATACTAAGGTTATACCAGGAAATAAAAAGCAAACCATGGGTACATCTGTGAATTCAGAAGACTCGGATGTTAGACAGACCTCTCAGTTACCAGCAAGACCACTTTCTCAGGTAAATAGGCTGGATTTCTCTAATAATGACTTCGATGATTCCATCTACAGAAATTCAGAAAAAAAACTAACAACACAAAACCACCAACATTTGCATATACAAGAAGAAAAACAAGCCAGTGTTGCATCTCTTACAGAAATCAGGAAGGAGAACTGTAAGAGCCTGGATGAAGAGGACACCAAAATAATAAACAAAAAAAAAATGTATGGGAAAGATTCCCAGTTGAATCTTTCTGAAGTTCAAGACACCCACCTTCAGCAGTCTGTTTCTCAGAATCATTCAAACACCCCGAATAGTAAAGCCATATCACAGCCTTCAAGTCCACATGGTGCGACTATAATGAAATCATTAGAGCACAAGTTTGCAGTTGTGAAAATAGAAAGTTTGAATGAAGAGGGAGCAGACAGCCTAAAAACGAGCGACTTGACACAATTCAGTGATCACGGGGATAGTAATGAAGAGCCCACAAGTGTAGATGTCGGTGAAAACAACGGCCAAAGTGATGTGGGTCCTGAATGTGATACCAAACTGTCCAAGTCTGAACTCAGCGTGTCTCAGGATATAGATAGTTCTGTTTTACTGTTTCTTAGCAGTGATGAAAGCCAACAGTCTGAAAACAGCGAGAATGAAAAGGACACTGTGTGTCCTGTTGAAAACAGTGGCCAGAAGGAGTCGTCAAGTGGAGACTTGGAAGAGTCGGCATGTGGTAGTGCACTGTTTGTAATTGATAGAACTCCTGGATTGAGTGCTGATAAAAATTTTTATCTGGAAGACAAGGCCTCGAGCGAAGTTGCTATTGAGGAAGAAGAGGAGGAAGAAGAGGAAGATAATGAAGAAGAATCATCAGACAGTGATGAAAAGAAAGACGAGTCTAGTGATGAGGAAGACTTACTAAATCACACAAAGTCTAAGCTGTAAGTACTACCTTTAAATAGGAGAGGGCATGCTAAGGATTAAGTCTATGGCCTCAGCATGAGAAGCCTCTCCTTTGCCACTGAGCTGCACCTCAGCCCCAAAGTAATTTTTATTAGTATATATTATAGATGTTTCATCATGGTGCTCTCCTACGTGTGTGTATAGTGTATTCTGAGGTGCAGTTACCCTCCTCCTCCTCCACCTTTCATCCCCACCGATGACCCTTTCCCAGCTGGTTCTCTCTCTGCTTTCATGTCTTTGGGGGACAGGTGACCCACTGAGTTTAACTGCTTATAGGAGGATGGGTGAGGGGTTATTTAGAACGCTCACGGGAAGCTTACTAGTGCCACACCATTGAAGACAATGCCTCTTCCCCCCCAGTAATCATTAACTGCCTGTAGGTCCTCAGGGCGAGGTGGGGCCTCGTGAGCTCCTGGACCCTCCGTTATAAAGTGCCAACTGGTCCAGTCATGTGCATTCGATCAACAGCTTCTGTGAGTTCCCAGGTGCGACTCCCAGGTCCTACCCAGAACAGCATTCCACACTGCTGCTCTCTGCCCCTCTCCTGCAGTGGTTCCTGAGCTTTGGAAGGGGTGATACAGATGTCCCACTTAGAAACGAGCATCTTGAGACACTTACTCTCAGCATTTTTGACCAGCTCTGAGTCTTGGTAGTAACTGCTACCCACTGCAAGAAAAAAAAAGGCGTCTTACCATACCTGGGCATGAACCTAAATATTTAGAAGGTATTTTTAATGAATTCAGCGTGTCTAGCAAAATAAAGTAGTAGCTTCCCTACTAGGGCCTGTGACCAACCACAGACTTCTGATGAGGTTTACTGTACCAGGTATGTATTCCTGTAAGTGGGCCTCAAATCCAATTAGAAGTGGTTGGTTACCTCTCAAACAGTGCACCAGTAGGCAGACATAGCTCCTCTGGCAAGTCAGTTTAACATGTAGGGTCCACACTGAGTAAGTGTGGGAGGCCAGCTCCCATCTTTTAAAAGGAGTTCTATGAGGAGGAGAGAGGGATAGGAAACTTGGAGATAGAAAGATATCGAAGAGGAGAAAGACAACACAGGATAGCTTCGGGAGGACCTGGATCAAAACCCAATGGCTTTTTCTGTTTATTCAAAGGAGCTTTTTATAACAATGCCAAGGGGCGGGGCAAAAGACCTCCCCCTTGCTAGATCAAAGCACACTGCACAACCAACCCTTCCAAACACTTGGTAACCACACCCGTGGTCAAAGCATCCCTTATGCAGTCCCGCTGGGTAAAGCAAGCTCAGATTCTTGGACCCTGAGTAAGTTCTCACTAGGAAGCCTCTGTGGGCCTCTACAGGTGAGACCATTGATAACTTTTCTCCCCAGCCTGTGTAGTTACTTTCCAGCACTATAAAAGTTAGCCAACAGGAAAGATGCTTCCAGCTCGATTTCAGGTTCATTTCTATGTCCTGTAACCAAAGCCTGTGATATCTTCAGCAGTAGGGTCTTTTGGGTTTTTCGAATCAGGGTTTCTCTGTATAGTCCTGGCTGTCCTAGAACTCGCTCTGTAGACCAGGCTGGCCTTGAACTCACAGAGATCCACCTGCCTCTGCCTCCCAGGTACTGGGATAAAAGGTATGCACCACCACCACCACTCAGCCAGCAGTAGGGTCTTAACATCTAGACCTTGGTGGGCCACCAAGAGTCCTGGTAATAGCCTCTGGTTTTGAGGGGCCTCAGGTGTTCATCACCATTGACTGGCTAATGCTTTTGTTGTTGTTTGCTTGTTACTTGTTTGTTGTTTTTTGTTTTGTTTAAAAAAAAACCCACACTCCTTCCAACATTAATTCCAATGTATATTCAAAGATAAGAACCACTACCAAGGCACTGTAATAGACTCCACTTTCCAGTGGAGGCTCATTGTACTTTGAACTACACTACATGGTTTATGAGAATGATCAGAGAAGAAACTGACTTTCAGTCTGAGAGTATTTACCTATAAAAAGGACTCTTGGTTTTGTAAAGTAAACATTCTCACTATAAAAATATGATAGGAGCCGGGGCCAGATGTGGAAGAAACTGGGTTGGTGGTCTAGAGTATGCCGTCTTTTCTGCTTCTATAGTGTTGGTGCTCATGCCCCCTGAGATGTATTTAGAAACACTGCCATTAATTTACCCAGCAACAATTCTTTTTTCTTTCACACAGATCTCTCTGTAGCCTACATTAGACTGGAATACAAAATCCTGCCTCAGCCCTGAAGGCTGGGATTATAGTCCTGCACTATACTTGGTCTGCCTAGGAAAGAATTGTAGAGTTGATTGCCTGTTAAGTTCAGAGCTGCTCTTTCTCCCTGGTGTAGAGACACAGTGTGTCTTTCTGAACTGTGTCCTCCAGTGTGTGAAATTCAACTGAATGCCTTTTCTTCAAGTTCTTTATGAAATATGTGGGCATGTTATTTGCTTAGTCCTCCTAGAAAATCTTGGGAATCTTTTGGATGTCTTCACCAATAGTGTTGATTCGTTATTCATCCTAGACTTTATTCTAAGTGAATGTATGAGATACACATGTGTATTCAGTGTTTTAGGAACTGCACTGTACAGATAAGATGCTCTATTTCCATGTGTGATTTTAACATGTAACCTTGTTTCCATTTTTTCTTACTTGATCTTTAAGTGACCTTTTCTCTTTCAGTCTGAAGTTGACAAGCAGCAGCATAGACCCTGGACTAAGTATCAAGCAGTTGGGCGGTTTGTATATTAATTTCAATGTAGACAAACTGCAGCCTCACAAGAAAACCCTAACACAGATCAAGGAGAAAAAGAAAACCGAGGTAAGCTCATAAACTGTCCCATCCTCTTTAGTTCTTAGAAGATGACTACTTTCCCTATGGCAAAACTGTATTGGTCTGTTGTGCTCTTTTTCCATCTTGTTGGAATTGTTGGGGTTTTTTTATGAATGGAGTTTTATCTGTAAGAGATGATACTTGAAATAAATTAACTCAAGATCAGCGTTGTTATTACTATTATTATTATTATTATTATTTGCATCCACCACTTAAAGACCCAGGGGTCCTATTTTCTTGCTCTAATTTTTTAAGCATTCGTTTGTTGTGTGTGTGTGTGTGTGTGTGTGTGTGTGTGTGTGTGTGTGTGTGGGCATGTTTGTGCTGTGGTGTTTCTGAGAAGATTAGAGGACAACCTGCAGTAGCTGCATGTCCCCACCTTGTGGGTTCCAGGATCAAAAACAAGGCCAGTAGGTTTGGCAGCATGTATCTCTTTAAAGTGCAAAAAACATTCAGGAATAGATTAATGGATTTGCCTACACAAAATTTAAAAGCCTAAGTTTAAATGGGGAAGAAAGATGATAAAAAAAATTAATAATTTTGTATTTTCTAGCTTCTGCAGAAAGCTGTCATTACACCTGATTTTGAAAAAAATTATTCTGTCCCTCCATATAGTGAATCGAAGCATCAGGTTCAGAAACAGCGCAGGGTAAGTGGGGAGTTGCTGTTTAGATTGCTCACGTGTGCTTTGCCTTTGGACTTCAGAGGATGTGACAGTATGATTGTGCAGTTAACTCTGTGTATTCATCTCTTGTAGACAGGACCAGAGTTCTGAGACACTAAGGGCCGTTGAATATGGTTCCATCAGCATGTCTAGTGTGGCTTTTCACATCTTTGCGCATGAATAGTTTCTGGTTTTGTTTGTTTTGGTGCTTGGGAGTGAACCCTGGGGTCTTGTGCATGTTGTAAGCATGTACCCTGTCACTGAGTTATTGCTTCTGCCCCGTAAATACAGCTTTTGAAAATACACCTTAAACAGTGACAGCCAGCATACAGGTTCACCATCCATATCATTTGGATTTTAAATACATTCCTGAAGGCTAGTGCTCTATTGCACAGAGTTAATACAACCAACTTAAAACTCTGATCTACTTAGTCTGGCAGGTGAGGGAAGGGAAACAATTTAGCAGTGTAAGCAAACTTACTTTACTACTTGAACTTATAAGCAGTTATAAAAGGTGCTAATAATGCAGCACACTGGCACGTGGCAGGCACTAAACCATTTTGGATGAATGAAACAAAATGCTTGGTAGAGTTTTCAAATGAATAGTAATTTTGTTTTATTTTGGATATAATATAAAGCTCTGAATTTGTTGAGAGTTAGTTTCTCAGACCCTTAAAAAAATAATGCTTATATACCAGCTCCTAAAATAAAATGTTTTTATACATTATCTCTTGTATGAGCCCTTTTAGGAAAAAAAAAATGGAAGCTGTGTGTGTGTTCCTTTCCCTGAAATTATCACCAGGAAGCCATCATTTATGAAACTGATGATGCTATGCCAAAGAAATGTTTTGGGTGTTTTTGTTTTGGAGTTAATTCTTTTTATAAGGATCCTGGAAATAAATGCTTTCTGTAAAGCTGCTTTCTGTAAAGCTGGGGTTTTGCTTTTTTTTTTTTTTTTTTTTTTGAGACAGTGTCTCATATCCTGGGTTGGCTAAGCAGAGGATGACCTTGGACTTCTTATCCTCTGGCCACCAATTCCCAAATTCTGGGGTTACAGGTGTGCATTGCCATACTCAGTTTATGCAGTGTTGAAGAGTGAACCCCAGGGCTTCACGTATGCTGGGCAAGACCTCTATCAACCGAGTTACATCCCCAGATCTTGTAAATGCTCCCTTTTCCCAAGTCTGAATGGGTAGCCCAGGTTGGCGTCTTGAATTCGCAATCATCCATCCTCAATCTCTTGTAAGTATTGAGGTCACAGCTGTGTACTACCACAACCAAGTAATTGACAGTTTTCTCTTTTATAATTTTACAGGAGGCACCTTTATAGCACAGTGGGCAGTGTGTCTAACTTTGGGGGAAAATTAGTCTCTATACTCTCATAAAAAAGAGTTAGAATGTTTATTTTGGGGGCTTGAAAGAGGGCTTGGTGGTCAAGAACACTTGCAACTCTTACAGAGGACAAAAGTTTGGTCCCAGCATCCACATGAGGCACCTCCTAACTTCCTGTGACTCCAGCTCAGGAACTCCTCACCCTCCTCACCTCCACCAGCACTTGCATACACATGTATGTGCACATACATATAAGTAAAACAAATCTTTTTAAATGTTTATTTTTAAAACTTGTATTTCAGAAAGAGCGACAAAAAACAGCTGGTAATGGTTGGTTTGGCATGAAAGCTCCAGAACTGACAGACGAACTGAAAAATGACCTCAAAGCATTGAAGATGAGAGCAAGCATGGACCCAAAGAGGTTTTACAAGAAAAATGACAGAGATGGTTTCCCTAAGTACTTCCAGGTATACAGACAGAATGCTGGTTAGGGTATGTGGAGAACAGCATGGCAAAATAAGAAAGAGTTTACATGTGCATACCCAGCCTGTGGTCAGTGTCTGCTTAGGCTTAATAATGACTAGAATGCAACTCAGACAGCCATCATTTTATAATGTCCTCAGTACAGAGGGGCATGGTTAAAAATGGTAGCTGGGATCAAGGTTAGTTCTGTTAAACTCACTGAATTTTTGTATCTGAATGTGTGGCTAGTACTAACCGAAGAGCAAAAGTTGATGCAGGCTGTAGAGAGAAAGGAAATTATTTGTTCCGTTCCTTTTCTCTTTTCAAAGCATCTCTGGGCAGATAGACGGTGAAAGACATTCAAAAGTTGCTTTTCAGTGTCTCCCAGTGAGCGAGCAAGTTGATCCTGTTTCCACTCTCCTAACCCTTTTCTACTCACTTGGTTTCCAGCTCTCTCCCCGTCAGCCTCATTGTAGCTAATGTGGTATTCTGTAATTTACCTCCATATTTGTTTTCATGTTACACTTCTGAGAAGCTTGAGTAATTCTGGTGACCTTTGGGGTGGTCTGTATCACTTCCTTTGGACCTTCATGATCTAGCTTGCCACCCTTTTGTTACTGAGCCCTCTTAAACGTCACCACACTCAGTCAGCTACTCGGCCTTCTCAGAGCATGGGCCAGTCTTCTGCTCGGACTTCTCTCCCTTGTTTGCTTGGTGAGCCAAGCTAAGATGTCGTCTGTCATGCTTACCTCCTTTAATAAGCCTGGTCACTAGGTCTTCAGAGCCATGTACAGTGTTCTGTTCCGTGTGCATCATTTGCACTGTAGTGTTCAGTGTCTGCCTGGCTCTGCCTGAAGGTTGTGGCCCCTTCCTGGCGTGGACTGGATGTTCAGTCCTTGTTTTCCCATCACCTAAGCACAGTGTCTGGCACATAGTAATCATCCTGTAAACTCCAGCTGAATGAATCAATGTAGAACCTTTACTAAACTGCTTCTAGGCCGGCAGTATTTATGATAATCTAAAATCAGATAGACATGTAGAATTTAAATGTATGACATTGGATTAGAAAGCACAGTTTATAGTGTTTGGTGCTATTCATCATGAACTTACTGTTTAGCACTGAAGAATATAAAGTTTGGACCTACTGTACACTCTAATGGGGAAATGTCATCAGTAGCACCAGTGGACTGGCTAATAGGTGGTTTATTTTTGCCTTTTAAAAATGGCATAACTTTAATCCATGTGTAATGTAAGCTTGTGCTTTCTGTTCCTTTCTGCAAAAACCCTTTAGACCTGAAATGTGGAGCAACTTAACATCCACGTACTGCATCACTTATTTCAATCAATTTTTCTTAGGTTGGAACCATTGTTGATAATCCAGCTGACTTCTACCATTCAAGAATTCCCAAGAAACAAAGGAAAAAGACTATTGTGGAAGAGCTGCTGGCTGATTCTGAGTTCAGGAGGTAATTTACATTTTATTTATTTATTGGTTTTTTGAGACAGGGTTTCTCTGTGTAGCTTTGCGCCTCTCCTGGAACTCACTCTGTAGCCCAGGCTGGCCTCGAACTCACAGAGATCCGCCTGCCTCCGCCTCCCGAGTGCTGGGATTAAAGGCGAGCGCCACCATATAATGTGTATGCTTTCCTTTAAATACACAAAGTTTATAGGTTTTCAGATTACATTTTGGTGACTGTGTTTTCATGAGAATAACAAAACAAATAATTTAGTATTTGGCATAAAGTCAGATCCTCATCTATTTCTGCCAAGCCCTACGTCATGTAGCCTTTAAACTGCACACGGACCCTCAGAATGAGGGTGAGAAGGTCTGATGTCTCAGTGTTCCTTTGGAAATACGTTTTACCTAACATCTCTTATCTGGAGAGCAGACCTGAAAATCATTGCTCTTTGTTTTCTAAGGGTTTTGGTTTGGTTTGGTTTTTTAAGACAGGATCTCTCACTATGTAGCTCTGGCTGTTGTGGATCAGAGATTGCCTGCCTTTGCCTCCCAAGTGTGCCCCTACACCTGGCTCTGAGCTTCTAAGAAATGTCAACAATACTGTTTTTATTATGTAGAAACTGTTTTACTTTGTACTTTCTGAATTTTTATTCCACATTTATACCCAGATCTAACATCACCTGGTAATTGGATACTGGTCTTTTAAATATAAACTCTGGCTGAGGAGTTCAGTGCACATCTGTAAATCCAATGCATAGGAAGCTGAAAAAGGCAGGTTGTGAGTTCGAGGTCAGCCTAGGATACATAGGAAGTTCATGGCCAGCCATTGCAAGACACCATCTCAAAACCTAAATAAAACAAATTACAAACTCTGAGGACAGAGACTATTGATTGCTTCCTTGTCCACTGCTGTCCTCAGCCTCCGGACATTTGGTAGCAATGTGATATACAAGACAGCTCAGCACAGAGCATTTTGAGATTTAGCTCCTCCTTAAAACTGTATTAACTGCTGATACCTGTAGATGTAATTCGGTGTAGATGTAGCCAACGGTTTTATCAGACAAGAAACACAGAGCCGATTCAGAGAAGAAAGCCAAGAGGTCAGAGCTAAGAGCCTCACCCTTCCTGATTCAGGGATCCTCCTCAGCCAAGAGAGCTCTCCGAAAGAGGAGCCCTCCTTCCTGTGTGTCTGTCTCTATTCTCCTTGTTCTGGCTTCTGATTGGTTGTAAACCCAATCATGTGACTGCCTCGTCACTGCCTGTATATACCGCCCTCCAGGTCCTTAAAGGTGTACGCCACCACTGCCACGCACTTGCTATGGCTCTAATAGCTCTGACCCCAGGCAACTTTATTTATTAACATACCACCACAGATACCTGATATACCTGATACATCGTGCTTTAGATTGGAGCTTAAAGGTTTGTTTTTCTCTTTAGATTTAACCGAAGGAAGTATTCGGAAATCATGGCTGAGAAAGCAGCAAATGCAGCAGGAAAGAAGTTCCGGAAAAAGAAGAAATTTCGCAATTAAAATCCACAAAGCGCCGGGCGGTGGTGGCGCACACCTTTAATCCCAGCACTCGGGAGGCAGAGCCAGGCGGATCTCTGTGAGTTCAAGGCCAGCCTGGTCTCCAAAGCAAGTTCCAGGAAAGGCGCAAAGCTACACAGAGAAACCCTGTCTCGAAAAACCAAAAAAAAAAACAAAAATCCACAAAGCAAACCCAGCATTTTATAGATCTCCTTTATTTGCTGGTCATCACATAATTTATATAAATAATATATATATTTAGTGATTTGTTTGTTAATAAAGCTGACAAAATCAATCATGTGTCCCTTGTAATAAAATTAGGTTGTGGGTATAGATGGTACGTCTGGTTTTAGACCATTAAAGGGGAAAATGAGTATCAACTATTTTAGTAAGTTTGTCCAGTTTTCGGTATTATTGGATTATTTAAAGAAAATGTAATTAGAACATAAATAGGCAGTATGTTCAAAGAACTTTTTGAAGTGATCAAAAATGTCTAAATATAAAAACTGTGTTGTGTGTGGAGGATGTAGACATGGCTTACGTTTACCTGTTTCTTCCAGCGTACACGCTACAGTGTGTGGGGAGGTAAGGGAAAAGTGTTCCGGAGCCAACATGAACTACTTGTAGAAACAACTCAATGAGGCTCAAATATGTCTGACATGATGCAGAAGTCTCTGGGAAATTTGGGATAAAAGTGCAAGATGCAAGTGGGCTGGAGTTTTTCTCTTAGCAACTGGAACTGGAGGAATGATTACTTCTACTCAGGTTAGTTCTAAGCAAAACAGGATTAAACAGGATTTTCACTTGGCCTGTAGGTCAAATGACCCAGTTGCCTCCTCCAATGACTCAGGCAGGCACCCAAGCTAACCAAGAAGTGTTGATCACACCTATGAAGGCTTGTTGGATGTAGCTCCTTTACATTATTGGACCCCTATTTCAGTAACTAAAGTCTTATATTTGACCTTGGGGTTACAAGCAAACTATCATCTATGCTTCCTTTTATTAAAAACAAAACAACAACAAAAAAATTTCAATAATATATGTTGCCTCTGTGTGACAGAAGGATTCCAGGTGGGAGAAGTAAGAAGGGTTAAGAGTTTCTTTACACATCTTCCAGGAGACTCTTTAGTAACACTTCTTGACCAAGGCTCAAGGGGCAACCTACTGCTGTATTTTCTGTCCCGTGAATGCTAGAATGGGCTGAATAATTCTTTGCCTCAAAATAGACAAGTATTTTTTTAGTATTTACTCATAGTTACATTTCCATTGATAGGTGCTCTTTGCTTTGTCTCCATTGGCTTACTTTAACTTTTTTAGAGGCAGAGCCAGGTGGATCTCTGTGAGTCCAAGGCCAGCCTGGGCTACAGAGTGAGTTCCAGGAAAGGCGCAAAGCTACACAGAGAAACCCTGTCTCAAAAAAAACAAAAAACAAACAAACAAAAAAAAACAAGACAAAACATTTTTTATAAGCAATTTGTAGTTTGTCTTAAATACACCTCAAAGGCCTATGGTACTCTGGGAAGTGGGGAGACCTGTAGGAGGTGGGGCCTAGTGAAGTTACATGTGGGGACAAGTCCTTGTAAGGGGATGGGACCCCGGTTTACCTTCTATTCGCAGCCATAAGGTGGCCAGCTTTACTTCTACACATTTCCTTCCTGCTGTGGACTGCCTTGCCATGGGCCCAAAGTGACCACAGATGACAACCTATGAAACGAAGCCAAGATAGTCCCTCCAAGTTGATTATCAGGAATCTTGTTACTGCAATGGAAAGTTCCTTTATTTTCCACTTCATTTATGTAAAGTAGGGAATGTTTAACAAAATAATCACTTCCATCAAGTAAACTGAAATTACCTAAAAATAATCTGAAGTCACCTATTAACATTCATTCTTGAGTATGAGCAATTTTTTTATTTTTTTTTTATTTTTTATTTTTCAGAGGTCAATTTAAAGATTTATTTATTATGTATACAGCATGTGTGCCTGCATGCCAGAAGAGGGCACCAGATCTCGTTACAGATGGTTGTGAGCCACCACGTGGTTGCTGGGAATTGAACTCAGGACCTCTGGAAGAGCAGTCAGTGCTCTTAACCTCTGAGCCATCTCTCCAGCCCCGCAAGTTTTATTTTAAATCTTTCAAAGTAGAGTAATGGTACAAGCCTGAAATCCCAGCACCTTGGAAGTGGAGGCAGGGGGATCAGGCATTGAAAATCACTTCAACTACGTAATGAATTTGTTTTATATGCAATGCTGTCTCCCCCCCCCCCAAAAAAAAACCCCAATTATCTTCCAAACTATAAAGAATAATATCTAAAAAGTATTGTAATTACAAGAAGGTATTGTGGAGTGTCTACCAAAGAAGACCTATCAGACATGGTTTCAAGCCATAGAAAGTCTTTATTACCAGGGTGGTAACTACACTGGGTGTTTGGGACCCCAGTGCAGTCCTGAGCCTTTCTCAGAGTAGGCTTTTAAGCATAAAAACCACATCCTGGATTGACACACCTCAGTTGGTCAGATTCGGAACTACAGAAGCCAAAAAGCAAGGTTGGTACATTAAGAGACTTTCCCAGATCGATGGACTTTGATGGATCAGGTCTTGGTTCTCATTTTGGCAGGTGCTGCTGCCTACGTACATGCTGGATTTTAAGGGCTGATAGTACTTCCATCATGGTGTCAGATGTGTTACGTCTGGGGTCCTGTTACAAAGTTAGGAACTTGTTTATTACATTTTTATTTGTGGATGTGCATGGGGCACGTGCATGCACTTGTATGGTGGTCAGAGGACAACTGTAAGAGTCCCCTTTCACCAGGTGAGTCCCGGCGATCAAATTCAGGCCTTCAGCCTTGGCCGCAGGCTTTACCTACTGACCCATCTCATCTGCCTGGAACTTCTCTTTTGGTCTCTGTCATCCTGACTACAAATACTTTTGTACTTCAACTTAAGATAGGGTTCACAGAGTTTCAGTTGAAAGAAGTGTAAATTGAAGATGCATTTCATCTAATGTACCAAATATAGTACGCCTCACCTAGTTTCCCTGAAATGGTCAGAACATGTATGTTAGTGTGCAGTTGCACAATCTAACACCTTGATGATCTCCTCGGCCCAGCAGGACGAGAACCATCACCAGCCCAGGAAAAGTAGTTTCTGCTCAATGCTTTCTCCTCGCTGTAGTCAGTTCTGAGTCAGACTCCTCAGGGCCCATCGGCGCTTGAATAATGGATGAAACTGTCTTGGTTTAGTGAGCATGAAAAATTTAATTCACTCAACAATTATTAGGCTTAATGACTAACAAAGCGAGACTACTACAACTGGGCACGAAGAAGTAGATCAATTAAGGTCATCCAAAGCCTGCATCTGTCTCCTTAATATTAGCTTTTCCTTCGCTTCACACCTTCAGCTTTCCCTTGCCAAGCTCTTCCATTCTGTAAACAGTCATAGGGAGCCTGTTCTGTGCTTAGCGTAGCATGTCTAAGCACCAACCGTCAACACATGCATCTGAACTCGCTCTCCTACACTCATTCCTGCATTTTATTGTTTGTGTCAATTATGTCAGCACTCATCCACTGGCCGAAGTGGAAACAGCAGATCTCTGGCACTCTAGCTAGCTGCTTCTGCTCTCTCCTCCATCCCTCAGTTCAAGGCTCAGCTGTCCTGGGAAACAGCTCTAGTTTATATCCTCAGCCTTCTCTTCAACCACTTCCCGCATTCCAACTCTCAACATTTTCTTACTTTCATGTCTTCAACAGCCTCAGTCCATGGTCTACACTGCAGCAGAGGAATGATACAAAACACATCACACTGCTTCCCAGCTAACAACTATTCAGCGTTTCCCCATGGCCTTTAAGTTCACACTCAACAATGATGTATGAAACATTTGGAATATGGTCCTGGGGGGACTCTCAAAGTATGGGCCTTTGTTTATTTGTTTGTTTTGGACAGGGTCTCACTATGAAGCCATTACTGTTCTGGAACTCACTAGACAGATTAGACTGGCCTCAAGCTCTGAGAACCACCAGCCTGTAGTGAGTCTTTTTCTGTTCCGCTAGCCAGCTCCCAAATCATGATATGGACTTATTATGAAAGCTTGGCCAATAGCTTAGGCTTGTTTTTAGCTAGTCTTATAACTTAAATTAACCCATTTCTATTCATCTATGTGCTGCTCCAGACTTGTTTACCTCATCTACACACTGTCCATCCTGCTTTCCTGCTTCTAACATGTCTCCTCCTGCCTTCTTCCCAGCATCCTCTGCGCCTGGAAATCCTGCCGAGCTATTGGCCATTCAGCTTTGTAATAAACCAATCCAAGTGGCACATCTTCACAGTGTACAAAAAGATTCCACACCACCAGACTGCCTTCCTAGAGCTGGGGTCAAAGCACTCCACCACAGCCAGCTGCTTCTCCAGTTCTTAATAATAGGAGCTCCTACAGGTGCTCATCAGGTGGGCTCCTAGAGATTAGTAATTTAACAGGTGGGCTTCCGAAGGGCCCACTTATCACTGAGGTCTGCACATAGAGGCCAACAAATGAAGACTGGGAATGAAGCTCAGCTGGTACAGGGCTTGCTTAGCATGCACATAGACCTGGATTTGAACCCTAACATCGCATGAACTAGTGGCTGTAATTCTAGCAATTAAGGTTGTCCTCGGCTACATGAGATGTCTAAATAAATGTGGAGCTTTAGGGAAGAGATTAACCATAAGGGCTTTGATCCATCTATGAATTAATCCTTTGATGGGCTATTAGGAGATGTTGGAAACTTAGGACCATGTTGAGAGCAGGTCCTTGGGAACATGCTTTTAGGAAGTATATTAACCTTGCTTCTGTTACCCACCCCCGCCTTCCATCTGCTGATGTGACCATCTTTGTTTCACACGTGCTCCCGTCATGATGTTCTGTCTCAAAGAGACACTGAAGCCTCCAAGCCAAGTAACCATGGACTAAAATTTGAGATTGGATAGCAGGATTTATGGCTTGGGAACAACATAATGAGACCAAGTCATAATATTTGCTTTTGCATTTCTGGGAAGTGTACGTGCTCTGAGCTATATCCTTAGCCCTCTTTAGACTTTTTGAGACAGGGTCTTTCCACAGGCAGATCTTGATCCTTGTGATGCTCTTGCCTCGGCCTTTGTAGTAGTTCAGATTCTAAATGTGTACTTCCAAGCCAGGCTCCAAGCATGTGGTGTGAACACAGACAGGCACGGCAAGGCTCCATTTATTGGCTCTTCCAGGTAAGAATAAAGGGAGGCTAACACGGACTGAAGAGGTGACTGGGCTGCTCACTTAACAAGATGATACAGCGGGCTTTTGATTCTTCTGGGATGGACTATGGTTTGGTCACTGTCCATTAGTTCCAACATGGTTTCAAAACACATGCTTCTTGTGTACGTACACACACACACACACACACTCCTTTTATTTGGTGGGCTAATGAGCAGTCAGCTTTGCTCAGAAAATGCTGAGTTTCTCATAAAACATTCTGGGCTCATGGTTTATAGAGACTGTAGGTACATAAACTGCCTAGAAAGCACAAGGGTGGGGTGAAGGCAACAGGTCAAGTGATACTAGTCTTGGATAAAACATTTTTTTCAAATGATGAACATTTATCTATATATAGAGCTGACCCAGGAATTAAGACAGCAAAATGGGCACTGTAGGAAGACAGATGCCAAGCTTTTTACCATGTTTATCCATCAGGTATTTGTAGCCTCCAGTGAAGAATCTGTCTTAGCAAAAGTTCAAGTTTCTGCAAAGTAACCCAGGCAATTGTTACCATAACCCACATGTCAGAGGTGTTACTTCTCATAAGCTGGCAGGTAGTTAATATATACTGCTCAGCTGTGTGATTCCCAAAGTATGTCAACTAGGAGTGAATGCAGTGACTGACAGCCGAAGTGATCTGGAGGCTTACTGAAGAAGTCTCGGGGATAAAGATTTTCCCTTAGTAACAGCTTTTCCTCAGGTGTAACCTCCTCAATCCCCACTAGTTCTCAACTGGTGAGGTCATAAGGAACTCTGTAAACATTCTGGCCTTGTAGCTTAACCAGTGTTTTATGAAGAATCTGTCGGGAGCATACCTGTAAGGAACACAAAGTTAAGGGACCAGAATTTGCCTTTTGTTTCCTTGGAGAAGTTGGTAGTTCCCTTTCAAAATCCTTGACTCAAAATAAATGTATCTTATTTTGTCACAGAAACAAAAAGATTTCTAACGTCCCAACTACAGACTACTCATTACAGTCTCCCCAGTAATGTATGAGTATGCCAGTTTCCTCAGTTTCCCCACAGGTCACATGCTATCAAACACGTGGAAACTGTTTATAATTTATAAATCACAGCATTGTAGCCTTGGCCATGCTACTTTATTATTATATTAATGAATAATTCATGATTATGAAGGGGAAATCTTAAAAAATAACAAACACCTGACCTTACCAGACTGTAAAGTAGCACATAAAAATTTCAGACCAATGCAGCAAACTAGAAAATCCAGAAACCAAAGTGTATATATGCTGTTGGTGGTTTTTTACTCTTTTGGGGGGGCTCACCACCCAGCTCCCAAATAAATCACACATGGAGGCTTATTATTACTTAGGAATGCTCGGCCTTAGCTTGGCTTAGTTTCTAGCCAGCTTTCCTTAACTTAAAATTATCCCGACTTCCTTTTACCTCTGGGCTTTTCCTTTTCTCTAACTGTAAACCTCGGCTTGCTGTGTAGCTGGGTGGCTGGCCCCTGGAGTCGTTGTTGTCCTCTGGCTGCTAGATCTTAGCTCTCCAACCCCTCTTCCCAGATTTCTCCTCCTGTATATCCTCTCAGCCTGCCAGCCCCGCCTATCCTTTCTCCTGCCTTGCTAGTGCTTTATTGGGCAGTTCTTTATTAGACCATCAAGTGTTTTACACAGTAACACAGCTTCACAGAGTTCAACATAAAAGTAACACACCTTAAAATACTAGTTACTACATATACAGGAATTTAGACCATCATGAAGGTGGGCATTTCAAATTTTTATGGAAGAGACAGTGGGCTCATCACCAGCAAGTCTGGGGCAGAACTTCCATTACAAAAGATATTCCAGATGGACCAAAGGTACAGAAAGGGCTAACTTCTGCATTAAAAACAAAACAAGACAAAAAAACAAACCGGAAAACATTTTCTAGTAACTATTATTATTATTATTTTTATTATCATTTGTCATGTTTTTTCGAGACAGGGTTTCTCTGTGTAGCTTTGCGCCTTTCCTGGAACTCACTTGGTAGCCCAGGCTGGCCTCGAACTCACAGAGATCCGCCTGGCTCTGCCTCCCGAGTGCTGGGATTAAAGGCGTGCGCCACCACCGCCCCGCTCAAGTGGCCATTATTATTACTACTGGCTCTGGAGAGACTTTCAAGTCTCAGATACAGGAATAACAAGGATGTGTACTCTTTCCTGGACCTTTCCCGACGATTCTGAATTTTTCATGTTTTGCATGAACTAGGAGTTTTGTCGGGAATATTTTTTTTTAAAACTCCCTTCCTTCCGACGCTTACTTGTCTTTGGCGAAGGGGAACGCTAACCTTGTGCAAAGTTAGGACGTGTCACAAGGGGACTGGACTAAGTAACTCCTGTTTCCAGCTGGCAGGCAGTGTGTGCCCACTCCAACTCGGCACTAAAATCGTGGAAGAAGCAAGCAGTCAGGCCCAGAAACGCAGGTTTCTGGGCCTCTTCCCAGATCCACCGAAATGGCATCCTGAAGTGACGACTGAGGTCTGTATTTTTTTTTTTTTTTTTTACAAGATCCACTCGAGATACGGGGGAGGGGGAGGGGCAGGGGTGTGTACTTAGAATGCCCTTGGGCTAGCCTGAGCAGCGCGCTCCCTCTGCCCTGCTGGCGGCCACTGTCAGGCTCCAGACGTGGGACGTCACGCGGGACCCAGGCCCGCCCCACGCTCTCACAGGCCCACACCGAGAGGCCCGCTTCTTTATAGCCCGCTTTACCTAACTCTTCTCCGGACTGGGATCGGCCCGGAGGCTGCGGAAGCTGCAGCTGAGAGTGGTGACAGCAGCACGCAGCGGGGAGAGGTCCGGTGGCTGGGCCGCGCGTGGAAGCTGTTTAGGCCACAGACAAAAGGAATAATAATAAAAAAAAAAAAAAAAAAAAAAGGTAGAAGTCAAAAACAAACCTCCCAAGGTTTTAAAAACACTCCGACTCCGCCGGGACTCGAACCCGGAACCTTTGAATGCCTTCAACCTCTAGAAGTCCAATGCGCTATCCATTGCGCCACGGAGCCACCTGTTGGAGTTTCCGCGCATCTGCCGTATTAAGCCAGAGGCAACGGCCCCGCGCCCGGCCCAGCGCCGTCTCGGTCGTCGCCGGAGCCCCGCCGCCGAGCCTGAGACCCCCCTCCAGCCGTAACGGCGAAGCCGGGCCAGGCCGGCGGGCGCCCACCCTCCCGGGAGCCGCCGCTGCCGAAGGGCGACTGCGGGCCGCGCGGGTCGGGAGAGCGCAGCGGGAACCCGCCGCTGCACGCCGGTCGCGCCCGTCCCTCCCCGGCCCCCGCCGGCCCCGCGCCCCCGCCTACCAGCTGTGTCCGGCGGCCGCTCCCGCCCCGCCCGGGCCGCCGAGGCTGCAGGCCCGGACCGGCCGTTGCGCCGTTGCTCCGGGCCGGTGACGCCGGGCACTTCCGTCGCCCCTGCGAGCGGCGAGGGCGAGCGGCCGCACCCGGGGCTGCCGGGCGAAGGCAGCGATCCCTCGCGGGGGTGGGAGAGGGAGGCACCCCCGGGCTCTTCCCCGACGCCGGGACCCGCGGCTGCGTCTGTGTGCGTGCTTGTGCGTGTTTATCTGCGCGGGGCCTCGGGGCCACGGGCTTTTGGGTTGCATTTCGCTCCCCACAGACCCAGAGCCGAATGTCTGAGGTATCCGGGCTCTGGTGGCCTGAAGGGGGCGACGCGCCCCGCACCGACACAGCCTCCGGGGAGCTGGTCCGCTCGCTACGCCTCCGAGGGGGGGGTGGGAAGCCGCCGCGCAGCCGCCGATGCCCGCGCGCCCCCCCCCCCACGCGCGTCCGAGTGGGCGGCCCCCGGAGGCCGACGGCGCGCGTGGGGGAGCGCGCGGGTGCGGGCGCCGCGGCTGCAGGGCGCGCGGCCGAGCGCGGTGGCGGAGACTTTTCCCCGCCGGCCCCTTGGCTCCGAGGGACGGGGTCACCGTGAATCCGAGCTGCGGCGTGGGGAGTGTGGGTCTTCTTCGGGGGTCCCCCCCCGTCCCCGCCCCGCATCCGCCCACCCCCCGATCTCCATCGGAGCGACCCCGAAGCCACGCGGGGAGATCTAAATAAAACCCCGGTTGCTATGCAACGGCCGCAGCCAGACAAAAGCCCCGGCTCGGGCTCCAATCAGCGTGCGGCTCTCCGGACCCCGCCTGCATAGGAATCGCGTGGCGCGACCTGACGCTGACACTTTGTACACCGGAGCGGCCCCCGTCGGTGTCCACCGGGTGGTCCCTGCCAGGCAGAACCGGGCATCCGAGGATAGGTGCTTGCCTAGCGCGGTGCACTGAAAGGAGAGCGGGAATTCTCCGGAAGAGCCCAGGGGAGGGGGGCATTTTTATGTTAAAGGACAAGTATCAGCATCCCCTTTGTAGAAAGGAAAACCGCCCCTGCAATAAGTTAAATCTCACACACATACACAGGGGCCCCATCTAGTGAGGCGAACTGCGAAGAGTCAGATTTTATTCTACTTTGCAGGCCAAATATATTATCTTTCACGGTTTTGTCGATATTGACGGAACACCAGAGTACTGTCGACAAGGAAAGCAGTAGCCAGAGGGTCAGCATGTTTATGCTGGTCCTCTGAACGCGGATTCCCTCAGGAACAAAGCATATGGGCCCCAGATGCATGCTTGAACACAAAATGGTTTTCATTATAGGAGAGGAATGCTGAGCTCGGAAACTACTATGTTTTATAGTGAGCAGTAAGCAAAGCCTACTCTTTGTTCTACAGGGAGACATTACCTCATCTCTCAAAATTGCTCCTTGCAAACACAACTCTGAAAAAAAAAAAAAAGGCCCAAAGAAAGAATGATCAATCTTGCATTCTTGGCACACCCAACAAGAACGTGCAATAATAACACTAATGGTGAATAGCTCTACAAATAGTGACAGAGTCCTGTCCAATGCTAGGCCTACTTCATTCCATACAAACAATTTCTTTAACAACAAGGATTTTAAACGTTGTTTGCCTCTTAAAATGGGCACTACCCCTTAAAACAGAACGATAAACTAAAACCAGCATTTCTAAATAGTATCTTTATGAAGGCTGCAATGTGTCATGCACTGGTGACATTTTGAAGTCCTCCACTGGTTCTTAAAAGTTGTTCACAACTCAAGCAGAGAAAGAGACGCTCAATGCTCCGTGGGAAAACCATACAGAAGAATTTTGCCTGGGGGCATTGGCGCAAAATCCCAAATTTTGAGGAGTCATTGGCATGATTAACAATTATGACTCATTACTCTTAAAGTTCCGAGAAATAGGAACAGAGAAAAACATATGCTAAGGAAAGATGTGCAAGTAATTGTTTCAACTTAACAAAGCAAAGAATTGTAGATGTTTGATTCCTTCTGCTGGTTGAGACTTTAAGATTCTTGTCTATGAAAAACATTACCGAGACAACTTTAGCAGGAACTGTGGGGAACCAGGCTTGTGTGCAGCGCTGCTGACGATTAAGGTTGTACATGTCACAGCAGAACGTGTGTCAGGCATGCGGGACTTCTCCGACAAGCAGTGTATAGAGTCTGGCTTCAGGGGCAGGTGTGCTATCCTCGAACAAGAATGGGATGTGTATTTGGTTGCTGCAGAAGGAGAAAGATCAATGGGGGTTTTGTTTTAAACTAAGAGCTGACCGGGGCTATATAATAAGTCGCGATTACACACTTGAACCAAGAATTCCCACAAGGACAAGAAGCGGCCTCCTCCTGCCAGCAGAGGGCGCCAACGCACGGGTTATCATCACCTTCACAGAGCCGACCTCTGCCCTTCCCCAGAGCTTCCCAGACAAGAAGGCTCCAGCTCAACAGGACCTTGCTTGGGTGTTCAAACACAGTTCCTGTCTTTCGGGGTCTGCAGTAACGCTTTCCATGTTTGCCCAGCAGGATTAGTTTCAAGTTGCTATGTTGTTCTAGGTGGCAAGTTGCAATTGGGTATCCATGCCAGTAAATGTCTTTTAGTCTGAACTCCCAAATAATAAGCACAAACTACTATAATGATTATAAAATATACCCCAAGAATTTGCAAAGAATAGACTTTTAGAAAATAGTCAATGTCTCAAAAACAAAACAAAACAAAACAAATGGAGCTGGAGAGATGGCTCAGCAGCTAAGAGCACTGGCTGCTCTATTGGAGGAACCAGGTTCAATTCCCAGCACCCACATGGCAGCTCATAACTGACTATAGCTCCAGTTCCAGGGGATCCAGCACCCTCACACAGGCATACTTGTAGGCAAAACAACAATGCACATGAAATTTTTAAAAAGTAAAAAATGAACAAATGAACAAAAAATAGAAAACGGAAACAAAATATCTGGTAGTGGTTTGGGATTACAGGCTATGAGTTGGATTGATGTTCAAATCTTGGCTCTGCCTCTTCGTTTCAAGACTTGATTCCTAACTTCTCTGAGCCATCTTTTCCTGATCTGAGAAACCATTAAGGTGTTTCCAGGTGTAATGCTTGCAAGAACTTACCTCAGTCCTGGCACAAGGTAAACGTGAGAACTAGCTTTTGATTGTTATTAGCAAACGTCTCTCAAGAAAGAAGTAAACAACTCTCAGATCCTGAATGAACAGTTAAATTTGTTACAACCCCAGTAACATTTCCCATCTCTCCGCCCTGCCCAACACAGCATGTACTGCGTTTGTTCCTACTTATCTCCTGCCTCAAGACATCTAAACTGAACTTCAAGGTTTTCCCACAGTTTTTCTGCAAGAAGTTTGAACAGCTAATTGTTTTCATTTGTTCAACTACATGGTTTCCACAAACAAGGGTGTAGACCACCCCTAAGGATTTTTTAAGACAAGTGTCTTGCCAGATAAAATCTGGAGCAACATTTAAGGGATGGAACTTTTTATCCTAAAATATTTAAGTGCTAAGTTTCAGTCAGGCAAATAACCAAACTCTACTAGACATAAGATGGGAATAAAGGAAAGAGAATAAACGTTTCAAAGGTGAAGAAATATAGACACTGGGCCAGAGAGAAGGCTCATCTTGTAATGGTACCTGTTGTCAAGCCTGAAGACCCAAGTTCAGTCCCGAAGACCTGCATGCTGGAAGGAGAAAACCGACTTCTGAAAGTTGTCCTCTGACCCCTGACACCCACCCACCCCCACAAACACACACTAAAACAAATAAGATTTTAAAGAAATTTAGACATCAAGGTTAAAAAAAAAACAAGAGCAGAAAAAATGGAGGTGAATGGATCCTTGTGGAAGGTATCAGGTAGAAATAGGGAGGTTAGGGGGAGGAAGAGAATGTCGGCCGAGTGCAGACCAGGCTCGGCAGAGGCCTTGGAGCAGTCTTGACTCAGATTAGACGTGGACTCAATGTAACAGGCAGTGGGCACTACTGGCCTCTGTTGACTGGGAAAGACGGCCATTTAGAGTGAGTCACGTAGGAGGGAAGTATAAGCTGAGTAGAGTGTGGTCAGAAGGCCAGCGAGACTGTTACACTCCATTCTGTTTCTAGCTAGTGTTTGTCTATAATTCTTCATCCCTTCAGCAAACAGTGATCGGACATCTAGTTGGCACATTAGTGACTTTAGGGGCACACAAAGATGGAAAAGATGTGTGCTTGGTTTACCCCTAAAATAAGGGATGGCAGTCACGCGGGCAGCGTTGAAGCAAGGCAATGGTCTTCAAGTGAGGTACCAGTGTGGTAGCACAAGGTTTGGCATAGTGGATGGCGTCCTGGGAAGTGGGAATCGGAATGAAGGCTGCATTTGAAATGCTGCCTAGCTCAGAACAGCTCTATAGGCGAGGAACACTGGGTGGGGTGTTGTCCACAGACAGACTCAGGGCTTCCAGGAAGATGACGGGACAAAGCCAGGGAAGTGATAGGGGCTGTGCATTGAAGGCACAGTGTGGAAAAGGGTGCTCCAGACTTATCCTTGGGTGCAGCAGGAAGAGAAGGTCGTGAAGGTTCAGAGTTGTCATAACAAAGCTGGGCATGGATCGCTTCCATGGTTCTGTGCCATCAACTTATTTAAGAAGAAAATCAGCTAAGGATAAAGAGTGTTGTGGAATATTATTTTAAGGTGGGTTACATTTCTTTATGCTGTGGAACATTTGTTTTAATGATGCAAAGATGTGTTGTAATCCTTTATGTTGCATTTGTTTAGCTCTGTGAAGCTGTGTTACTATGCCTGTCTAAAACACCTGATTGGTCTAATAAAGAGCTAAACGGCCAATAGCAAGGCAGGAGAAAGGATAGGCAGGGCTGGCAGGCAGAGAGAATAAATAAAAGGATAAAAAGAGGGATCAGGAAGCAAGAAAGAAGAAAGGAAAAGAGAACAAGGAGAGGAGGACACCAGGGGCCAGCCACCCAGCCACACAGCCACACAGCCACACAGCCACCCAGCCGCACAGCCACCCAGCCACCCAGCCACCCAGCCACCCAGCCACCCAGCCACACAGCCACACAGCCACCCAGCCACCCAGCCACACAGCCACCCAGCCACCCAGCCACCCAGCCACCCAGCCACCCAGCCACACAGCCACCCAGCCACCCAGCCACCCAGCCACCCAGCCACACAGCCACCCAGCCACACAGCCACACAGCCACCCAGCCACACAGCCACCCAGCCACACAGCCACACAGCCACACAGCCACACAGCCACACAGCCACACAGCCACCCAGCCACACAGCCACACAGCCACACAGCCAGCCAGCCACCCAGACAGCCATGGAGTAAGATTAAAAGTAAGATATACAGAAATAAGAAAAGGAAAAAGCCCAGAGGCAAAGCTCAGAGGCAAAAGGTAGACAGGTTGATTTAAAGTTAAGAAAAACTGGCAAGAAACAAACAAGCTAAGGCTGGACATTCATAAGTAAGAATAAGACTCGGTGTGTGATTTATTTGGGAGGGTGGTGGGCCCCCCCAAAAGAGCAAAAACAACCAACGGTAAAAGAGAGTGGTATCCAGCCCACCAAGGGGAGGGATGGGGAAGAGCTAGTGGAATGTCTCAGATAGATGGGCTCTTGTTCAGAGAAGGGAGTCTCATCACAAAGGGAAACTGAGGCAAGTGTAGAACATAGCACAGCTGAATCAGGCAGTACACCAACTTCAGACCTCATGGCTAGCAGTCTGTGGCTGCTCACCAGGCTTCAAAGTCTGGAGCTGAGAAGGATGTAGGGCTGTCTGTAAGTGGCAATTGCCTCCTCGCGGCTGCCAAGAAGGTTGGACAAAGGCCCAGATTGACCCAGATCTTCCAGACTGGACAAGCGTTGTACCCAAACAAATCAGAGAGCACATGTGTGCTCCTGGTCCCTGGGAAAAGATTTCAATTAGCAATGACCATGCCAGGAGTAAAGTTCACTGATGATATACTGCGCCTGCACAAGGCTCAGTCTTCTGGACCACTGATGAAAGAGACAAGAACTCTCCTTGTTCTCCCGAGCCTTGCAAACTAACAAAGTCAGACAAAGAGCACAGAGACGCACAGGAAATGGTTTCTGGGTTTAGGTGCTAAAACTCATTATCTCACTAGGACTTCTCTCCCTCGCTTTAAATCTGTGTTAAGCAGATCTCAAGATTTCACCCCCCAATCTCAGAATTAATCTGGTTATTCTCCCTGCTGCCCCTCCACGGCGTTAGAATAGTTGTGGCCTTCTACTGTGTACCGGAGGGAGGGTGCGGGCCGGGAAAGGAAAAGCTGTATCACTAATGATGTTCACCAGAACCTGTCAGTTCGTCATTAGCATACTGATACAGGAAAACTGAGCAGCTCCAGGATGAGCCAATCAAGACTGAGCATGGAGCTTCAACTAGGCTGTGACCGTACCTGGGCTCCCAAGATGATGGATAAAGATGATCCTAGGGCCAGAGTGTCTGTCCTTCGGGGCGGGGCCTCAATTGTTTCCCTGTGCCATGTTTCTGTCACAGACCCCACAGCTGACTCCAGCATGTCCTTGTACCAGGACAGGTATTTTTGTCATTAGGTCTCTTAATCTAACTAGAAATAGCATCCATTGGTTTTGTTTGTTTGTTAAATAGTTTCCCATGCTGGCCTTAAACTGGCTATGTAGCCTAAGATGACCTTAAGCTGATCCCCTGCCTCCACCTTCCAAGTGGTAGAATTACAGGCTTGCACTTGCACCCCAAGCCTGTTTGTATGTGGTGCTGAGGAGGGACCCAGTGCTGGGTGCATGCTAGGCGGGGAGTGCTCTGCCAGCTAAGCTGCGTCCTCAGCCCCCATTGCCATGGCGGTCCAACGCCATTTGCTTCCCCTCGTCTCCGCCAAGTGCCAGCAAGTCATGTAGGAACTGCAGGTGGTGGTAGTTTTCAAAACCTCATCCATTCCCCACCCTGTGATCATAGAATCTTATCATTAAATTTGAGACCAACTATTACTATTGGTGAGGGTGCCTGGTTGGTCTCTGAGAGAGAGAGAGAGAGAGGAGAGGAAGAGAGGAGGAGAGAGACATGCATGGCTGGGAGCCGAGACTGTGCGCAGAACTATGTGCT